TACAGCCCAGTGTATCAGTTCACTTCCTCTTGCCTGCAAGATGTAGGACACCATGTCACACCATGATGATAATGGGCTAACCCTCTGAAAATGTAAGTCACCCCAATTAAGTGTTTTTCATTTATAAGAATTGTCATGGTCATGGTGTCTCTTCACAGCAGTAGAAACTCTTTAAGACTCTCCCCATCAACAATTAATTTCATATAAACTCCCAGGAAGTATAAGGTTCCTATCAGTTCCATGAAAAGATGTTAATAGGGTCCAAATTTGAATAGCTCCCATTTAGGTAATCATAGCTACTGGGAGTTTAAGTGCGGTGGGGTCAGGTGACGGCAGAGGTGGCTCAGTTGAGAGCATTAGTTCTTGCAGAGGGTCTGAATGCAATTCCTGGCATCTACAAAGTGATTGACAGCTGTCTATAACTCCAGTCCCAGATGACTTCAGATCTCCCCAGGCACTAGACACATATGTAGTACACAGACATACATTCACTCGAAACACTCATGCACTTACAAGAAATAAATGTGAAGTTAGTTTTAGAAACAGTGCAACAGTGCAGGGTGGTGGCGCACGCTTTAATCCCAGCACTCAGGAGGCAGAGCCAGGCGGATCTCTGAGTTCAAGACCAGCCTAGTCTACAGAGCAAGTTAGTTTGAGGGCAGCCAGAGCTACACAGAGAAACCCTGTCTTGAAAAACCAACAGCCCCCCCAAAAAAGGTGCAATGGGAAATACAATTGGTACTCAATGGTAAAATTCTCACCTCCCGAGAGTACAACAGCATTCACACCCAGGAATTAGTATTCTATACTACTTCTTACACACACACACACACCCATGCCGTCCAGGTTTTACTGTTCTTTTTACTCCTCCTTCCATGATGTCCCCAAAAGCGTGTGGGGATAGATGTCCTATTCATTTATTCTCCTCACTTGAGTAGTTGTGGGTCTCTGCAGTCACTGACAACCCAGGGGTTTGGATATAGTTATTCAGAAGCGATTCTATCGTCTGTCAGGCCCGCTGAGCAAAACAAGAGCAGTAGCTTCCCACTAGGGCATGAGCTCCCCAGCACTGGGCTTCTGACTGGCTTACTGTACCAAGCATGAATTCCAGTAAGAAAGGGGTTTGTCACTTTGTAACAGACTGCTGTTGCTGCACCCATGGGCACATACTGCCTGCCTGACTGAAAGTGTTGCAGAGGTGCAGAGGTCATGACCCGGTAAGATTGTTCATGCCTCCCAGCACTTGGGAGGCAGAGGTAGGCAGATCGCTGAGTTTGAGGACAGCCAGGGCTACTCAAAGAAACCCTGTCTCCCCGGAAGAAAAAAAAAGGAAAAGATAGATTGTTGGTGCCAATTCTTTCCCAGCAGCCTGCACAGGACCCTCCAGTGTGATTTCCCGGCCCTTGACATCAATGGCGGTAGACCCCTCTGGCAATAGGGGCTTACTGTCTAGTTCTGGGAACGAGCGGCATGACTTTTCCATGGCTATACTTGTTGTTGCTTCTGAACAAAGTAGGAGATCCATGGTAAAGTAGGAGCACCTGCTGTCTGCAGAGTTGCACCTGAGGTCTTCCTACCATGTGGGTGCTGGGACCTGAACTCAGGACCTCTGGAAGAGCAGCCAGTGCTCATCTCTCTAATCTCATCTTTTTGGCTTTTCTTTTTTTTTTTCTTCTTTTTTAATCTTTAAGTTTTTTTGTTTTTGTTTTTCTGGGAGGTTTCCTTTACTCTGTCTTCTAGCCTTAGAATCCATATTTTTGAAATCTGAAATTATTTTTCTTTCAACAGGTGTTACTGTTTCCATAAATTCTTGTTTTTATTTGTTTATTTATTTTTATTTGGTTGGGTTTCTTGTTGTTTGGTGTTTGGCCTTTTCCAGACAGAGTTTCTGTGTGTAGCCCTTGCTGTCGTAGAACTTGCTTTCTAGACCAGGCTGGCCTCACAGACATCTGTCTGCTTCTGCTTCCTGAGTGCCGGGAGTAAAGGTATGCCACCACTGCCAGGCTGGTTTTGTTTTATGAAACATGGTCTCACTCTAGTTCTGACTGGTCTAGAATTCCCTATAACTCCTGACTCAGCTTTGCAGGCGGGTGCAAGCTGTACATTCGGGTGTGTGTGTGTGTGAGTGTGTGAGCGCGCGCACACACATTGTTGTTTTGCCTGTATATATGTCTACTTCAGGGTGTCAGATCTTGGAGTTACGAACAGCTGTGAGGTCCATGTGTTTGCTGGGAATTGACCCTGGGTCCTCTGGAAGAGCAGCCACTGCTTTGAACCCCTGAGCCGTCTCTCCGGCCGGCCCCTGTGCATTCCTTTCTTTGTTGAAATTTGCTTTTGCTTCATAGATGGAATTAGTTTTGTTATCTCTTGAAACTTGTCACTGTTTTCTTCCCCTATGTGCTTTTTCCTTTGAGTTCCTTTTTGATTTTCTGTTTTAGTTTCTGACTTCACAGGTTTTCTTCTAATTATGTCTCATGGTTTGGGGATGTTCAAGTGTAAGTCGTTAAAGTCGTTAATAGAGCAGAGGGAAGCATTCTCGGCATGGAGAGTAGGGGTTTGTTGAGTTTTTTGGTTCCTGCTTCATCGCTCACAGCTGAGCAAAACAACAACTGTAGCTCTGTTCTTTGAGCCCAGGTTGAGCCCAGGCTGCTTCTTGTTTGCTCGCTTGATTTTCAGAGATTTGTTAAGGAAAATAAGAACTCCTGGGAATGGGAGGTCTCCAAGGAAGGAGGAGCTGCAGCCTGTGATAATTAATTACACTTGGCTAGTTAAACGCTAGCTAACGTTAAAGATATATACTTTTGGGGAAATGAAGGCCTCACCCTGAGTGTGAAATGATGCGCTGGGATGCAGGTCAGCTGTGGAATGTGCTTGCCCTGGAGACAGGGTTTCTCTGTGGCTTTGGAGGCTCTTATAGACCAGGCTGGCCTCGAACTCACAGAGATCCGCCCACCTCTGCCTCCCAAGTGCTGGGATTAAAGGCGTGTTCCCCCACCACCCAGCTTTCTTATGCTTTGCAGGGCCACCTGCCAAGGGAAGTCGGCACCCACAATGGGCTGTGCATCCTCCCAAATAAATCATTAAATCAAGAAAACCCCCCATGGGCTGGACCACAGGCCAACGTGGTGGGGGCGTTCCCTCACTTTTCGGGGTGACCATTGTTCAGGCTGACACGGCACAGGGTGGTGTGTGTTGTCCTGAAGCTCACCGCTCTTTCTGCTTGCCCTTGTGAGGTAACTTCTCTCTTGACCTGTTTATTCATTCCTCCTCGCTCTTTTGCCATTTTGCTTGGATCCTCAGTAGTACATGCTTTTCATTCTGCTACTTTTCCAGGCAGTGAGCTCTAACTTGTAAACGCCTGGTGGGAATGGTTTCAAATATATTACGGGCGGACATTATTGTGCACTCAACTGATGAGGCCGACGCAGGAGGAGTCCAGGGTTACCCTGGGTTGTACAGATAGCTCAGATGGGCTTAGATAAATGGTAAAGACTTTGAAGAAATGCTCTCATGAAAACAAGCAGAGATGCCCTGAACAGGCTCAGACCGACTGATCTGGAAAAGACACTCCCCAACCCGTTGAGCTGCCTGTAGGTTGTGGGGTGTACTCCAGTGTCCAGTTCTCCCAATAAAACCCACTGGTTTACCAAGTTGAATTTTGAAAGTGCAAGGCCTGCCTGGGCAACTTTGCCCATGCTTCAAAATAAAAAGTAAAAAACACTGAGGTTTAGCCCTTACTTGGTATATAGAGTCAAGGCCTGGGTTCAATTCCTGTCACTGCACGAATTAGAAGCCAGGTGGGTGTTACAATTATAGACTCAGGGTCACCTGGTGCATCTGTGAGACTGTTTAAGCTTTATGTATATAATAAAGTCATCCTGTTAGCTGAGTTCTCACATCTTCATCAGCCCCTCTGTTTACTATGCGAGACTTCTGTCTCCCAAGCGAGACTTCATGCATGGGAAGGGTTTTCTCTTGTCCTGCTGGTTAACAATGACAGGAAGGGTCCCAGGTCAAGAGCGGGGTTGGTGGCAAATGGCTGGCTACCAGAGTTTTGAACTGCAGCCTGGTGTGGTAGCACACATACATAATTCCAGCACGGAGGAACTAAAAGCAGGAGTAGGGGTTTATGGGTACCCTGGGACACTTGGAACCCTGCTTCAAACAGAAAATGACACCAACGGTGTTGGAATTGAAATAGTTTAGTGTAGGGCATTGAGCAAACCAAAGCTTTTTGTTACTTTTCCCTTTCCCAGTACAAATATTTTAGTTACCTACTCCATGGCACATACAGCCTAGCTTCCTCTTACTTATTAGGTGATCATAACTGGTTTACACCGCCTTTCTAAGTAGTTCCCTTTGGGAAGTCAGGTGAGTGTTCCTTAAGGGTGTATCTCGATTTTCTTCTCTCTTATTGTTTGTTTTTTTTTGAGACAGGGTCTCACTGTGGAGGCTTGGCTGGCCAGGAGTTCATTTTGTTGGTCAGGCTAACCAGGCTGGTTTCAAACTCATGGAGATCCTCCTGACTCCGTCTCCAAATGTGTGACATTACATCCAGCTTTTTTGTTTGTCTTTGTTTTTTGAGACAGGGTTTCTCTGTGTAGCCCTGGCTGTCCTGGAACTCCCTCTGTAGACCAGGCTGCCCTCAAACTCCGAGATCCCCCTGCCTCTGCCTCCCGAGTGCTGTGACTAAAGGCGCGCCGCCGCCACCACCACCACCTGGCTGTAATTTTTATATTATATTTTATATATTTATTGTGTGTTTGTGCATACGTGTGTGTGTGTGTGTGTGTGTGTGTGTGTGTGTGTGTGTACATGTGCCCATGTGGGGGTCAGAGGACAACTTTCAGGAGTCTGTTCTTTACCCCCATGCATATCAAACTCCATTAGGTTTGGTGGTAAGCAGCTTTACATGCAGGGCCCACCTCATGGCCCTTGTCTCCAACATGTAAATAAATGTACAACCTTCCTGACCCTCTGACCCCCATGTCTCCCTGCAGGCATACGTGTCACTGTCTCAGCAGATGGCGCCACCGAGTCCAAGGAACAGTACCCCTAATAGTAGCAATGGGAGCAACGGGCATGACCAGCTGAGCAAGACCAACCTGTATATCCGGGGACTGCAGCCAGGCACTACCGACCAGGACCTTGTCAAGCTCTGTCAGCCGTAAGTTGTGGTCCCAGGAGGACGTTTTCCAGGGCAGCACAGAATTGTGGTCACTGGCTTCTTGTCCCGTGCTCTTAGCTTGAACTGCAGTAGTGATACATTTCTACCTAATAGTTACAACGTATCTCAGAATTCTTCCTTGTGGCATTTTTTTTTCTTTCTTTCTTTTTTTGGCTTTGTTGTTTTGAGGCAGTGTCTCATGGATCCTAGGCTGGCTTCAGACAGAATCAACTTAAGAGAGAAAAGGTTATTTTGTCTCGGAGCTTGAGGTGCAGTCTGTCTTGCCAGAGAAGGCCAGCTGGAGGCAGCTGGTCATGTCAGCAAGCAAAGGAAAACAGGCGCTTGGTGTCATTCAGCTCCCTTTTCTCCACTTACATAGTCCTGGATCCCAGCCTGGGGATGGCACTACTCATAGTGGGTAAGGACCTCAGGCGGGCTGGCCAGGTGCCTGTGTTCCAGGTGATTCCAGACCCTATCAAGTTGACAATTCACACTTACCATGACATACTTTGAAATAATTCACTTAATCTCTAAGATGAGTGTTTTTCTTTCTTTCTTTCTTTTTTTAAACAGATTATCATATTGTCTAGCCTGGCCTTGAACTCCTTATACTCCTGTGTCTTCCTCTCAAGTTCTAGAATTAAAGGCATGCACACCATGCCTGGCTATATTTTTATTTATATGTAGGTATGCGTTTTTGTGAGTATATATACACCACATCCAGGTGCCCCTAAAGCCAGAGGGCATCGGATGTCCTGGAACTGGAGTAACAAGGGGGTGGGACCCACTTGATATGGAACTGGGTGGGAATCGAACCCTGGTTCTCTGGAAGAGCAGCCTGTGCTCTTAAATGTGGAGCCCTCCCTCCCCTTATACTGGCTATTCTTGTTGCTTTATAGACCTGCCCATTCTGTTGTTGCAAATATATGTGTACCGTTACCAGTTTATGGCTATTATGAATGCAGACAGCATGCTGGAAACCTACACCTTGGTGTGTGTGTGTGTGTGTGTGTGTGTGTGTGTACATATTCATGTTGGGTGTATTGCTGGGCCACAGGGTACCCACCTACTTAATTCTACAATAGCTAATGCCTGTGATCTCCGCATTCAGATGCAGTCAAGTCCTCGGCTGCATCCCAAACTTGAGGCCTTAGGAGCTGCAAGCGCTCTACCTCGGTGCGGCTTCTAGTCTAAGAAACTTGATTTGGTTCCCTTTTGTTTTAGGCTTTCATTTGCCCTTCTGGGAACTAGTCAGGGTCAGCATGTAGAACGTAAGTTAGGAATCCAGACAGGAATGGGAAGAGTAGGGTTAAGCCGGGCATGTCTGGGAACATGTGAAAGACAGACACAGTGGTTCATGCTGTGCTCACACTACCTGGGACCATGGAATAGAAGAACCTGTGTCAGGTCTGCCAGGACTACAGAATGAGACCCTATCTCAAAAAAAAAAAAAAAAAAGATGGTTCAGTGGTTACAAACATAAAAAACAGAGTTTGGTTCCACGCCAAGCAACACACACACACACACACACACACACACACACACACACACACACTTGAAAATAATGAAATCTTTTTAAAAATCAGTCAAACAGCCAGGTCATGGTGGCACACGCCTTTAATCCCAGCCAGTGCTCCGGAGGCAGAGGCAGGCAGATCTCTGTGAGTTCAAGGCCAGCCTGGTCTTAAAAAACAAAACCAAAAACCAGTCAAACAGAATGGGAGGAGTGTAGTGCACCAGAGAAGGGACAGGCTGGGTGGAGCCCGATGGAGGGGAGCAGGGAGCCTCTCTGAGGAGGGTGTTTCTCATGCTCAGAAGGACTTCCTGCCTTTGTCCCAGTGATCTCTTCCTGGGTCGCTGGATCCCAAACTCTGTTGGGCCGGAAGGAGAGGTGTGGCCAGCACTGGAACTCCTGGTTCTCTGGAAGGGGCTCCTTCTGTGGAGGAGGAGGAGGAAGCAGCCGCCCGCCCGCCCGCCCGCCCGGCTGTTACCAGCTGCGGTGGAAATTCTGAGCTCAAAGTCTTAGGCTGTAGCCCCAGCAGGCTCCACCCTGGGGCCTTGATGGGGATAGCAGCTAGAGTGTCCTCTGGCCAACAATCACGTCTACTCCCTCTTCTTGTCTTAAACTTGGGCTGGAATCCAAGTACGGAGCTCCAAAAGACCCTAGGAGCTCTGGCCCCAACTCCTTTTAACAAATCCTTTCCCCAACCTCTCAAGCATCCCCTGGCTTAGTTCTTCAGGTTCCAGAAGGTTCCCTGACAAAGTGGGGGTGAGGGAAGGAGGGGAAGCCGGGCGGGAACAACCCAGTCAGTAATTACATATTTGGGAAGAAGAGGGTAGGTTTTTTTTTGTTGTTGTTTTAGAGCTTGTTTGGAGTATTAATCTCAAATTTAGTTCTGTGCAGCCCTCGTTCTTTGACTTTGTTCGTTCGTGGCTGCTCTTCTGTGGCTGAGATTTTCACACTACCAGAATAGAATGGAGTGGCTTTTCCTAGCGGATGCTTCCCATGTAACCCAAGAGCTGCACCTACCGCATGACTCAAGCTCTGGGAGCTGTGCAGGCTCCTGCTGCCAACAAGGATTTCCAAAAAGCTGCAAAACATGGAGCTCATAAAATATACAGGGAAAATATGTCACAGATAGATTTAACTCGTTCATGGAGGCAGCTGAAGGTCAGGGAGTCACTGTGCCGGCACTCAGATGTGTTGGGATAAGATTGCTGTGGGGAGGCCGAGGCATGGACGGTCAGAGGACTTGTCCAAGATCACGCATGGCTAAAACGTAGCAGAGCGGTTTGGACCAAGCTGGTCTGTGTATAAGGGGTCAGTTGAGTGTTGGGAGTAGGGGCTCAGAGGACAAATGCTTTTTATTTTTAAAATTGTTTTTAATTTTATTTTTTATGCATATGGATGTTTTACCTGCATACATGTCCATGTACCACGTACACGCCTGGTGCCCTCAGAGGCCAGAAGTGTTGGACCCCTTGGAACTGGGGTCACAGACAGTCATGAGCTGCTATTTAGACGCTGGGAATCAAACCCAGGTCCTCCAGAAGAGCAGCCAGTGCTCTCAACCACTGAGCAGTCTTTTCAACGACTGTTTTATTGTTTTTCCTGGGTGTGGGGGGTTCAAGACAGAGTTTCTCTGTGTCAAGGTCTTGGCTGTCCTGAAAGTTGATTTGTAGACTAGACTGGCCTAGAATTCACAGAGACCCACCTGTCTCTGCTTCCCAAGTGCTGGGATTAAAGGCGTGTGCCACCACCACCTGACTTATTATATTATTTTAATAGGATGAATGGTGTGTGTCTAAAAGAAAAGTAGAATCTAGACGCTGGCCAGGCAGCGGTGGTTCAGACCTCCGGCCGCAGAGAAGAAACTCACTGAGGGTGGGAGTGGGGTGGGCGTTCATGTTTCCCCTGCCATGATGGACTGAAACCCTGAGCCAAAAGAAATCTTTTCTTTTTGCCAGGTATTTTGTCACAGAGTTGAACACTAACACAACTGGTTTGCTTTTTTTCTTTGAGACAAAGCTATGTAGGTCTGGTTGGCCCGGAACTCAACTCTGTAGACCAAGCTGGCCTCTAACTCAGAGGGATCCGCCTGCCTCCTTGAGTGCTGGGATTGAAAGCCTGTGTGCTACCATTTTCTGCACAAATGGCATTTTAAGTGATTTCTTTGTCCTGTCCTTTTGTCGTTGTTTTGTTTGTTTGTTTGTTTTTCGATACGGGGTTTCTCTGTGTAGCCCTGGCTGTCCTGGAACTCACTCTGTAGACCAGGCTGGTCTCTAACTCACAGGGATCTGCCTCCCTCTGCCTCCCGAGTGCTGGGATTAAAGGTGTGCGCCGCCATGCCAGGCTCTTCGTCCTTTTCTTAAATCCTGCCCCCAGATCATCACTTTGCATGTTCCTTTCCTTTAGATATGGCAAGATTGTCTCCACCAAGGCCATCCTGGACAAGACCACAAACAAATGCAAAGGTGACAAAATAGCACCCTGTCTTTCCCTGGTGAGAGCGGGAGGCCCAGCCTGTGCTTTGTTTCTGCCTCCTGTGGCAATCTGGGCGGGTGTGTGTGTGTGTGGGGGGGGAGGTGAGGGGTTGGGGGGGGGGGAGGCAGGGAGGAACTGGGAGGATTGGAGTCCTAAAGACCAATTCGTATTTTGGCTCCTTGGTGACCAGAGAGCCAGAGCTGAAGATGCTGTTAGGGACTGACAGCAAGATGTCCGCATGGAGCTGGCTCCCTTGGGTGGCTAGAGCTCACTCTGGACCACAAGTCTCCGTGCATGGGAGGGGATGCACGAGTAGTGTGTGTTTCTACTTGTAGTCAGGACGGCCCAGTGGATGCTCTTTTCCAGTGCTGAATCGCTACGGAGGGGTGTAAGCATGGTGGGAAGAGTAGGGAAGGGCAGCTTCCGCCTGGTACCGGATTGTTCTGGTACACTCTCCCTGCCCAGCATTTCCGGGGCTGTCTGGAGAAGGGGTCCTTTATGAGTGTGTGAGGTCTAGGGTTTAATTCCTTTGGTTTGAAGGGTTTGAAGTCCAGTTTTTTAATGAAGGAGAGAGGCAGAAAAGGCAGAACACCACGACAGCTTCATTTCCCTTGACACTCTTAGCCAGAGTGGGCCTGACCTCTGGGTGAGGGATCGCTTGGGCAATCGACTGAAAACCCTTTATTTATTTATTTATTTATTTTTCGAGACATGGTTTCTCTGTGGTGTTGGAGGCTGTCCTGCAACTCACTCTGTAGACCAGGCTGGTCTCGAACTCACAGAGATCCGCCTGCCTCTGCCTCCCGAGTGCTGGGATTAAAGGCCTGTGCCACCACCGCCCGGCGACAATGGCCTGAGACCTCTAATTTCCCTTTCTCCCCGCTGCTATATGATTCTCACGGGCCAGAGCTCTTTCTCTGTCTCCTGAAAAGCCTGGGCCTACCTCTCTCCCACCTCCCCTGACGCTGTTCCCTTCCAGGCTATGGCTTCGTGGACTTCGACAGCCCATCGGCGGCACAGAAGGCTGTAGCCGCACTGAAAGCCAGCGGTGTGCAGGCACAGATGGCAAAGGTAAGGCCGCCCCGTGGCTCATTTTCCAGCACCGAAGCACGCACCAGTTTGGGGCCTCCCAGGACTTAGAAAAATGAAAGTGAGGAGCAAGGCTCGTCTAAGGCGCATGCGTGGGTGCATGAGCGTGTGCCTGTGCGCGCATGCGTGGGTGCATGAGCGTGTGCCTGTGCGTGCATGCACGCACGCGTGTGCAGCTCGGAGCCACCTGGTGTGGGTGACAGTAACTAGACTCAGGTCCTCTCTAAAACCAGAATGTGCGCTTCACCGCACAGCCATCTTTGTGGTAGCGTCTGGACACAGCCAGGCTGAGCCAGGGTCTACGGGAAGGAACCGCTGGAGAAGATTCTCGGTGTGGCCCACAGGAGGACCAGGCCTCCCTCTCTCCATCCCCGGCCGCACTTGTCTAGCTAGGACAGATGGTTATAGTTTTTGCAGCATTCTCGAAGAGTGTTGTACAGGGCCCTGCCACTGCTCCCACTGGGCAGGGAGGGGGCTGGAGGAGGGGTGGGGGAGGGGCGGGAGGGGTGGGGGAGGGGCGGGAGGGGCTGGGGGAGGGACGGGGGAAGCTCGAGCAAGCCGGAGGAGAGCGGAGCCTCTTTCTTACAGCTCCCTGGAGCTTAGAATTTCATATGCTCATTTTCTTTTTTAATGCCAATCCCTAGGAAGCCAGTCACCTTTCTGGCTTCCCTTGGATGGGGGGGGGGGGACACACGGGGACGGACGGACAGTCCCTGTGCCTTGCTGAGGCATCTCAAATACTATAAAGAAGTTGATAAGGGCGGCCATTCCTGGAACTAGACTTACAGTGGATTGTGTGTCCCAGTGTGGGTGCAGGGAATCGAACCCAGATCCTCTGAAGAGCAGCCAGTGCTAACCACTGGGGCACCTCTGCAGTCCCAAGGCAGCCATTCTTTGCGCTAATGGTTAAAGGGGAACTGAAGCTGGGGAGTGATGGGAGGCCTCTAATCCCAGCATGTGGGAGACAAAGGAGGGGGTTGCTGAGGGTTCCGGGACAGCCTAGGGCAGAGTGAGAACAAGACTCAGAAGAAGGAGGTAGGGAGGGAGGGAGTGGGTAAGGGCTGGAGAGAGGAGCACTAGCTGTTTTTACAGAGGACCTCGGTCCAGCTCCCAGCACCACCTGGTACCTTACAACCAACCTAAGTCCAGCCGGGCGATGGCGCACACCTTTAGTCCCAGCACTCGGGAGGCAGGAGGATCTCTGAGTCCTGGACCAGCCTGGTCTATAGAGCGAGTTCCAGGACAGCCTCCAACACCACAGAGAATCCCTGTCTCCAAACAACAAAAGGGGAGAGGAGGGAGAAACCATCCTAACCCCAGTTCCAGGGGAGCCAGTGCCTTCTTCTGGCCTCCATGAACACTGCACACACATGGTGTATGGACACACATGCAGGCAAAATACCTGTAGATGTAAAGTAAAACTATATTTTAGAGAAAAATGAAGGAAGGAAACAGGTGTTGAAAGCGGGGTTACGATTGTTGAGAACCATTGAGGGAAGGGAACGACTTCCAGTCTTGCAAACAGCTCTGGAGCCAAGTGTGGTGTGGACCATGCCTGATTACAGAGCTGGGGGGGGGGGGGGAGGAGATAGAAGGGTCAAGGATTCAAGTTCATCCCTAGCTACATAGCAACTTCCAAGCCAGCCAGGACTACATAGTAAGACCCCCATCTCAAAGAAGCAGCCACACGTGCACAATTACACGGAGGAAAAAAAAGATAAGAGAAAAAAAAAAAAAAAAAAAAAAACAGCCGTGAGGAGTAGCCCATTGGTTAGGACGCTGGCTGTTTTCCCAGAGGACCCCAGTTCAATTCTCACATATGGTGGTTTACAGCTGTCGGTAACCACAGGATCCAAAACCCTCAGACAGACAGACAGAAAGACATGCAGGCAAAAACATCAATTCACACAAACACAAATAAACCAAAAAACCAGCCCTGGGGCACGCTAGGGCCCGCCCCATTCCTGGCCTCACTCCCACGCTGACTCAGGCAGCCTCTCACTTAGCCTCAGGCTCCCATGAGACTCGACCTTTTAGGGCTCAAGGTAAACCACTGAGCAGTAGTACACCTGGCCCCTACTCAGTCTCCTCCTCCCTCTTCCTGCTTCCCATCCACCCACAGGTGACTAGGTATTCCCACCTAGACAAGCCTGCTGTGGTGGAAGAACCTGAGAGAAATAATTCAGAACTATGGAATTGACAAGGCTGTCTCAGGGAATTTATCCTCAGGGCCAGGCTGCTGGACAAGAGGAGTTTTGAATAGTAGGTGTAGTAAATACTGTAATTTTTTTCTTCCTGGACTAGATATATGGCACATGATAATAGGATTGGATATTACAAACAACTAAGATCCTCTTTGTTTGGAACCCCCTTAATGTTCCTTTTCTCAAACGTTATTTTTGTTTGAGGCTGTATAAGCCTTGTCTGCCCTGGGACTTGCTCTGTAGACCAGGCTGTCCTCGAACTCACAGAGATCCGCCTGCCTCTGCCTCCTCTGCATGAGGGCTGAGGATGGGATGGAGATAAAGATACGAACCTCAGTTTCTACTTTTGATGTTCATAGCAACAGGAGCAAGATCCTACAAACTTATACATCTCAAACCTGCCACTGTCAATGGATGAGCAAGAGCTGGAGGGGATGCTGAAGCCGTTTGGTCAGGTTATCTCTACCCGGATCCTGCGAGACTCTAGTGGGACCAGCAGAGGGGTCGGCTTTGCAAGGTAAGAGGAGGACAAGGGTGGCTAAAGAGAAATGACTTAGGGAACAACACACACGTGCGCACATGCACAGGCACACACAGAGACAGACGCATACCTGCACAGACGGACGGACAGACAGACAGATATACGCACAGTGCCCCACCCCCCTACATGGACCAAGATAATGCTCAAAAATACCCGATAGCAGCCAGCAAGGTGACTCAGCAGGTAAACACTTTGTAGCGAGCCTGATGGACCACATGATGGAAGGAGAAAAATGACTCCAGCAAGTTGCATGTGCTGCGGCTTGTGCAAGCACACAATAATGTATACAATGTACTAACAATTGTTTAAGCCCTTGGCAGTTGAGTGTGTGCGCATGTGTGCGCATGCATGTGCACGTGTGCGTGTGCTTGTGTGCTTGTGTATCGAACCAAGGGCCTGGCATGTAACCTGAACTGGTAGTAATCCTCCTGCCTCTGCCTCCCAAGTGCTGGGATCATAAGCATGCTCCACCGTGCGGCACAGCTATCCATTCTTCATGCTTTCCTTATTGCCTCCTATTAACCACGAATGGGCAACAGCGCAGAGAGAGACCTGGCCTTCACACCTGTAGGATGAAGCAGCTTTGCAAGGTTTGCTCCACCTGTTAGATCTTGAGGGAGACTCACTTCGCCCCCTGCAGTGACAGTGACATTTCCCAGCTTTAGCAGCTCCTGTTCTCTAGCCTGCCTTCCTCTGACCTCCTGTGTCAGGAGCTTTAGCTGATCTACCTACCTAAAAAATGGTTTTGCTTCGATTTATTTTAGGGTTTTGGTTGGGTGCTGGCAAGCGCCTCAGCAGGTGAAGGTGCTTGCTGCCAAGCCTGCCAACCTGAGTTTGATCCCCAGACTCACATGGTAGAGAGACGGCCCATAAGTCCTCTGATCCCTTAACTCACATGCCCACATACACAAAAAATAAATATATGTATTCCCTCTTTGTTTTTGAAGACAGGGTTTCTTGTGTAACAAAGAACTTCCTTTGTGGACCAGGCTGTTTTTGAACTCAAAGAGATCCGCCTGCCTCTGCCTCCTGAGTGCTGGAATAAAAGGCCTGTGTAACCACAGCCAAGATAAAATAAACATGTAAAAATTTGTTCTAAAGACTTTTTTGTTTTGAGCCAGACACAAACTTGTAATTCCAGTACTCAGGAGACGAAGGAGAATTGTTACAAGTTCAAATTAGCGTATCTGGAAGAATAAGGTGTGTGAGGCTAGCCAGGGCCACATGCGTCTCAACCCTGTCTCAGAACACACTGTACATGTGGCTCAGTGGCAGAGTGCTTATCTCAAGTGCATGAAGCCCCAGTTTCATCTCCAGTGAGGGACAAGATGGATGTGCCGTGACATGCCTCCCTGTAATTCCAGCACTTGGCATATGGAGGCGGAAGGAGAGATGGCTCAGAGGTTAAGAGCACTGGCTGCTCTTCCAGAGGTCCTGAGTTCAAGTCCCAGCACCCACATGGTGGCTCACAGCCATCTGTAATTAGATCTGGTGCCCTCTGCTGGCCTGCAGGGATACATGCAGGCAGAACACTGTATACATAATAAATGTTCAAGGTCAATTAGGGTTTCAGAAGGACAATAACTGTTAGGGTGTTGCATGCATCTGTAACCCCTGTCCTTGGGAGGCCAAGACAGGAAAGTCACAATTTCAAGGCTCCCCTGGGATACATAGAAAGTTTAGAGTTGATTTTATAATGCAGAACCTGCCTCAGAAACAACAAAAACTGAACAAGGCTTGAGCTATAGCTCTGAGAGCTCAAGGCCAGCCTGAGTGACACTGAGACTCTAGCTAAATAAATATATAAAATATCAAAAACCGAACAAGTGAGTTTCACTTGAAATGAGATTCTGTTACTCGTTTTTAGCTCAAAAATCACTGTGCTAAATGGTCTGAGCCTTTTGTGTTCTCTTCTCTCTTACCTGCTCACAAATGCTCCCTCGGCCAAACATCAGAGACTAGGGGTGAACCGGGTATGGTGGCCCACCCTGTAATCCTGACATTTGGGAGATCGAGGCAAGAGAATGGGGAGCCCTTGGAGTATATGAGACTCTATCTCAAAGAACAAAACTTCCCCCCGCCCCCAATTTTTTCTTTTAATAATAGGGGCTCTGGCTAAATCTGAGTAGCGCCACCTAATGGAAGACTGAGGTATGACAAGATGAGAATTAACTGGGCTTGTGTTCATTGCAATAGTTAAAAAAATGAGAATGGATATCTACATCGTGACATAGTCATACAATATTAACCCACACTGAAAATCAAATGAAATAGTTATGCCTATCAATGTAGGTAAATTTTCTTATTATAACATCAAGCATAAAATGGCTGTGGAACATACATCATATTAATTATATAAAATTAAAAATGAGATGTTTATCTGTTTTTGACACGTTTTCCTTTATTTTTAAATTTTTATTAGTTTTTTGTTTTGTTTTTTTAATTTGAGACATGATGATCTTGATGTGGAGCCCAGTCTGGCTTTGAAACTCGGTCCTCCTGCCTCAGCCTCCTGAATACCGGAACTATAGACTTGGGCCACCTGTGCGAGCTGGCTCATCCACTTTAGGGCATATGTTCTCAGTTCACGGCATCCTAGAGACCATCTAGGGACTGTCTAGTGTTAGATGGGGACAGAGTGTGGACTGTGTCTCTAGGTTGTAGATGGGGACAGAGCGGGGACTGTGTCTCTAGGTTGTAGATGGGGACAGAGCGGGGACTGTGTCTAGTGTTAGATGGGGACAGAGCGGGGACTGTGTCTAGTGTTAGATGGGGACAGAGCGGGGACTGTGTCTAGTGTTAGATGGGGACAGAGTGTGGGACTGTGTCTCTAGGTTGTAGATGGGGACAGAGTGTGGACTGTGTCTAGTGTGTAGGATGGAGACAGTGTGTGGGACTGTGTCTCTAGGTTGTAGATGGGGACAGAGTGTGGGACTGTGTCTCTAGGTTGTAGATGGGGACAGAGCGGGGACTGTGTCTCTAGGTTGTAGATGGGGACAGAGTGGGGACTGTGTCTAGTGTGTAGGATGGAGACAGAGTGTGGGACTGTGTCTCTAGGTTGTAGATGGGGACAGAATGTGGACTGTGTCTCTAGGTTGTAGATGGGGACAGAGCGGAGACTGTGTCTAGTGTTAGATGGGGACAGAGCGGGGACTGTGTAGGTGAGGGACACAATGACAGCTATTTTAATTTTCTGAGCTGTTGGTGGTGAATAGCCACCGATACCTTCATCATTTTTCTCAGGCCTGTTCCCCCAGCAGGAAGCGTCACGGAACAGCTCTAACACTGGCCTTCTTGCCATCTGTCACCATGGGACATATGCCCTCACCCCATTTAAAGAGTTTACTCATCAGTTAGTTGTTGGGGGAGCACCAGATTGCACTCCTGTGGGAGTCAGAGGCCAGCTAGCAGGAGTCGGTTCCCCCTTTCACTGTGTTGGCTGGGTCCCTCAGCTCATCCAGCTTGCTTGTAGTACCTGTACCATCTACTGGCTTCATGTGCTCTTTACTACCAAACATAACTACCAAACATAACAATATGGCGTAGATAACTGGGTCTTGACAATTATTGACAGAATAGCTATAGCTTGTGCAAGCACACGTTTTATTTATTTTTATTCATGTGCGTCTTTTGCTTTCATGTATGCATGGGCACCAAGGGTGATCCAGTTGCCTTCTGGGGTCAGAAGCAGGCATCAGGTCCCTGTAAGTTGAGTTACATATGGTTGTGAGCCGTCATGTGGGTGCTTGGGTGCTTGGAACAGAACCTGTGTCCTCTGCAAGAGCAGTGAGTGCTTTTACCCACAGAAACATTTCTCTGCCCTACTGTCCCTTCTTTTGAGACAGGGTCTCAGTGTAGCCCTGGCAGTCATGGAACTGGATAAGTAGAACCAGGCTGATCCTGAACTCACAGAGATCTGCTTGCCTCTGCCTCCCGAATGCTGGCACTCGGTGTGCACCACCATGCTGGCACCGTTAGGAATTTTCTTTTTAACAGTTCAGTAGACACTTCAAAAAAATTTAAATTTGTTTTGTGTGTACACATGTGCCGATTTGTGTGTTACAGCCCATGTGTCGAGGTCAGGAGTTGGCTCTCTCCTAACACCACATGGGCTCCAGGGATGAAACTCAAGTTGCTGGGCCTGCTAGCAAGTGCCTTTTACCCACTTAACCATCTCCTCAACCCCCCATTAGGAATTTTACAATAAAGTCAGAGATGTGCTTAGTCAGTAGTGTGCTTGCTTAATCACAAGTGCATGATATCCTCGGTTCCGTCTAGCATGCATAAAAGTCAGGCATGGAGGAACAGGCTGGAGTATCACAAGGTCAAAGTGATCCTTAGATGGGGGCTCGAGGCCAGCCAGGGGTACGTGTGTACACACACACACACACACACACACACCATACACACACCATACATGCACACACACCATACATACACTTCATACATACACACACACACCATACACACATACACACCATACACACACCACACACACATACACACCATACACACATACACACCATACACACACACACACCATACATACACTTCATACATAAACACACACACCATACACACATACACACCATACACACACCACACACACGCGCGCACTGGCATCCTTAGATGGGGGCTTGAGGCCAGCCAGGGGCATACACACATGTGGTCTTTAAAAAAAAAAAAAAAAAAGTGAGCTGTTGGTGGCACACACCTTTGATCCCAGCACTTTTTGGTGGCAGATCTCTGTGAGTTCAATGTCATCCTGGTCTACAGAGTGAGTTTCAGGACACCCAGGTCTACACAGAAAAACCCTGTCTCAAAAGAACAATAAATATGAATAAATAAAATAAAAATAGAAAAGGAAACATAGATGCCTTGAAATGAACATGTGTGAGAGAAACATGTTTGTACCACATGTAACTTCTTGAGCTTAATGTGTGTAGAACGCATGTCCTGGACAGGTGAGAGCTTTACTCCTCATGTGCTTCGTAGGATGGAGTCCACGGAGAAGTGTGAAGCCATCATCGCTCACTTTAATGGGAAGTATTTAAAGACGCCCCCTGGAGTAGCAGGTGAGGCCTCTGGGACTCAGGCTGGGAGCCTCTGGAGGGGTGAGCGCCAATTGATGGTCCAGCCCTTCCGCTTTTTTCTCTTGCCAGCACCATCTGACCCCTTGCTTTGTAAATTTGCTGATGGCGGGCCAAAGAAACGACAGAGTCAAGGAAAATTTGTGGAAAATGGCCGGGCCTGGCCAAGGAATGGAGACATGGTAAAAACATCTCTGAGGCATTAAAGGGGAAGGGATGGCCTTGGCGGGCCGGCTGCTGTGCACCTTGGTGGCGAGCTTGAGCCCAGTCAGTGCGGCTGTCCTGCTCTTCAGTTCCAAAAACCCCAGAGTGGGACTTGTGGATCCTCTGGGCTCAAAATAATTACTCTGGGGGCCGGAGAGATGGCTCAGAGGTTAAGAGCACTGGCTGCTCTCCCAGAGGATCTGAGTTCAGTTTCCAGCGCCCATGTGGTGGCTCACAGCCAGCCATCTGGTGCCCTCTTCTGGCCTACAGGGATATATGCAAGCAGAATGCTGTATAAATTATAAATAAATTACAATAAATAAATAAATCTTTAAAAAATATATAAGAACTCTGTATTCTTTCTTATAGGGTGGTATGGCCTTGACCTATGACCCCACCACAGCTCTTCAGAATGGGTAAGGGTGTTTCATATGATTAAAGCACTTGAGAATGTCAATGGCTTGTGTTTCATTTTGATTCTCGAATAGCAGTGCAGGTGGCTGTTTCCTGAGGTTTTCTCACTGAATGAAGCTCTTTTCTACAGGTTCTACCCAAGCCCTTACAACATCGCCCACAGCAGGGTGTTTGCTCAGTCTGGGCTCTCCCCGTATGTTCCGTCTCCTGTGTCTTCGTACCAGGTAAGGCATGGCGTTTTCTCCCTGCTGCGTGTTTTTGGTGAAGGAATATAAAGCTTTTCTATATTGTACACAACACTCACAAAATGTCATGTAAGATCCTGTTGGCCCTGGCGTTGGTGGCGCATGCTTTTAGTCCCGGCACTCGGGAGGCAGAGACAGGCCTCTGTGAGTTTGAGACCAGTCTGGTCTACAAGAGACCCTGCTTCAAAAACAAAACAAGTACATCCCACAAGTACACGCATATTCCCCTTCCTGTTGCATGTCACTTTCATGTGAATACATACATACATACATACATACGGGGCTCTGGGAGCAATTTAATTTATGAAAACATGTATTATGTTATTCTCACAACATATCTCTTTAAAAGTCTTTTTACTTTATGTGTGAATGTGTATTTCATGTGTGCCTGGTGCCCGAGGAAGTTGGGTCCTCTGGAACTGGAGTTCTAGATGCCTGCGGGCCACAGTGTGGGTGCGAGGAACTGTCTCCCATTCCCCAATATCTTTTGTTAAAACCATATTCTCATTCTCTCTCTCTCTCTCTCTGTCTTACACACACTCTCTCTGTAGCACAGAAGACAGGTTGTAGAGAATTCTCTTCTTCCATCCTGTGGGTTCTAGGGCTCTGGTTCAGGTCTTCAGAGTTGGTGGCAAATGTCTTTACCTGATGAACTATTTCACGACCCTTTGCCTATGTGTTCTTTTTTCCCCCGGGAGGCTGGGTTTCTGTGTAGCCCTGGCTGTCCTAGAACTTGCTCTGTAGACCAGGCTGGCCTTGAACTCAGAGATCCTCCTGAGAGTGCTGTAATTAAAGGTGTGTGCCACCACAGCCCAGCTCTGTTTAAAAGTTTTTGAGACAAGGTCTCACTATGTAGCTCTGGCTGGCTTGAAATTCTCTATGTAGACCAGGCTACCCTTGGACTTGGATCCACCTGCCTCTGTCTCCCGAGTGCTGGGATTAAGGGTGTGCCAGCACCATACCTGTGAAAAACAGCTTGTTCTCTGTTTGTGTTGTGAAGGGACATGCCAGTTTGTGGGGGTCTTTGCTCAACAGTCTCAGTAACTGAGCCTGGGAGGTTAACATTTTTATTTGTTTTTGCTTGTATCAGAGAGTGACTCAGCCGTCTCTACAAGTACCTAATCCATCCTGGATGCAACACCAGGCGTACCTCATGCAGCCTTCAGTGAGTGTTCAGAAGTGGGCAGGAGCAAAAGAGACAATTTGACGTAAAGAAAAGCAAAGGGCTTTGATGGCAGGATCTGTGGGTGTGAGTTCTGGCTTAGTGCACTGTGCAACCCAACAGTAACCCTAATTCTGAGTCCTCAGGCAAAGGCCTCTTCACACTGAAGGTCAGGGTGCTGTTCCTATCGCAGAGCTGGGCTGCTGCCTGCTTACAGAGCAGTTAATAAACTATCTTAAAAAGCAAATAAAGACCTGGGTGTAGTGACACAGGCCTTTAACCCCAGCACTTGGGAGGCAGAGACAAGCAGATCTGAGTTTGAGGCCAGCGTGTCCCTGTTTGCCATCAATCGCTGCCTCCTTTAGGGCTCAGTTCTTATACCAGGGATGGACCACCCTCTCTCTCTCTCTCCAGACTGCCTCCATGATGGGACCTCTCACCCAGCAACTGGGCCACCTGTCACTCAGCAGCCTGGGCACGGTAAGGGATTGTCTCTACAGAGTATGACTGCCTGTGAAATACTCCTTAACACCCGTAGTTAGGACAGATGGAAGTGTGTTCTCAGGTCATCTAAGGTATATTCAGACCTGGGGTAAATGCCTGCCATCCCCACACTCAGGAGGACAAACAGAAAAGAACCTGTAAGCTGGGAATATAGCCATTCTGCCCTCCTCCTACCTCTAGTGCTTCTCAGTCATGGGACTAAGTAAGTTCTAAACATTTGTGTATTGCAAGGGTGTGGAAGGCAGTGCAGAGGGAAGTCAGGCAGATCTGTGACGAGGCCAATGTACTTGGGCACCATCAGGAACATTTTAAGAAGCACCCACACCAATAAAGGTATTTCAGTGCTTTTCACAGCTTTAAACTGCCTGAGAACCATTGTTCCTTTTCATTCCAGTTCATGCCAACAGCTGCTGCTATGCAAGGAGCTTACATCCCCCAGTACCCTCCTGTGCCTTCTTCCAACGTCTCTGTTGAGGTAGGAGCATTCTTCCTTTGCTGTGAGGCAGGGTTCTCTCGCACTGTTGATCTGCTCCTCACTGGTGGGTGTGAGGGGTGTGGGGAGGAGACACTGCACAGGTGCTCACAGCCAGCCTGCTCAGCTCAGTGTAGACCGGGATCAACCTCAGTTGCTTAAATGCTCTGGAATTGAGCAATGGCTTCACTGTCCCCCAAAGCAGCTGGGCCGCTTCCCCTTCCCAGCTTGGATGTTTCCAGCACACCTGCATTTGGGGAGTGGGTGAGTTGGGAGGCCACCCAGCCTTAGATTTGCTTTAGTGAGTCTTCAGAGGGAGGTGAGTGTAGGAATGCATCAGCAACTTCTCTTGGCTGTGATACAGGAGAGCAGTGGTCAGCAGAATCAAGTGGCCGTGGAGACACCGTCAGACCATGGGGTCTACCCTTTCCAGTTCAGCAAGTAATGAGGTGAGAATTTTATGTGGTTTTGGAGATGCTCCCAGACTCCAGAAGGTTCGGCAGGTTACAGATCTGTAGACCATGCTGAATACTAACACATACACATGGCCTTCATTTCCTCATAGGCCTGCTTGAGAAGAAAAGCCTGCACCTGCCTGCCTGGGGCTATTTTCTCATTGATGGAGCACGGGAACCATGTTGCATTTTTTATGTGCTACATTCAAGATCAGAAAAACTTAACACTGGTTGAGCTGCTTCTCATCTTCACAAAAACATTTGGATATGTTGGAAATATTTAGGAAGGCTTTTAAAATGATTTATTTCTTAAAGAAAAATTGATGGAGTCCTGCTTGCCAAGTTTAGTTATGGACTATTTTTGATATATTTTAAATATGCAGACTTAAAATTTCTTGTTTTGCAAAGCTCTCAGCTCAGTCGCATTGCACCCCCCCCCCCAAGGTGGGGTCTTACTGTGGCCCTGGCTGGCCAGAAACTCGCTCTGTAGACCAGGCCTTGAGCTCACAGGGCTTCTCCTACTCACTCCTGAGTGCAACACGAACGAGGCTTGGTTGTTTTTTAACTTCTCATCCGGATTGTTCTTTTTTTCTTTTCCGTTTAGCTGAGCCTTGCCTACTCTGCCTTTTTACAGTTTTTAAATTTTGTTAATGCCTTAGATTTCACGTGTAACTGGTACTGAAGTGCTGGTGTCTCTCTCTCTGCCCTCCGAGAAGACACTTTGAGAAGCAGATGTGTGCCATTTGTGCAGCCTTTGGAAGTCACCCTTCAACTAAATCTGGTGGCAAGTCCAAGTAGGATGAGCTTGTTGACATCTGACTGGCCCTGAGCACTGCCAAGTGTCACCCAGCTCCAGCTTTTGGGACACCTCTTCTGCCTCCTGGAGTATCTTCATTTTACCCCAGGCCTCACAGCCCCCCACCCCTGCTGCTTGTGGCCTTGCTCAGTCCGTGTTAAGATTCTTCTCCCATGCACTTTTAACTGGAGCTAATTTTGTCCCCAAGAGGCTGTTGCCATGTCTATCATCTTTGATTTCCATGCTTGGGGAGTGGTCATGCATGCATGCCACTTACTCGTTGCAGACTGAACATTTGACAGGACAGAACTGCACCTCACCAACTCTATCCCTCACTCCCTGACAAAGAGTTATCTAGACTAGTGACAGTATTTCCCTGTCTTCTGCAATGGGCTGAATCCCCAGCCCAGCCCTGGACAGAGCCTCATTGTGTTCATGTACCCGACCAGGAGTGCCAGCTATGACCTTTGAATTCTGTCCATTTTGCTTCCTGGAGGATCATTCCGTACTGGAGTCTCAGCCCCTCATCCCGGGCACATGGCTGTATGTAATCTCCAGAGCTGTGACTTGGCCAAATCACCTAAGAATTCAGCGGAAGCTATCTTAGCAGGGCTCATTCATGGTTGTATGTGTATGCCAAATGCAGTTTGAAGGGATGGAAATCATAACGGTTCATTGTGTGCTGTGCAGGCCCAAGAAAAGGACCTAGCTCTGCTCACTGCAGTGCCCTGTCTAGCCCTGGCGTGTTTGGACCCCTTCCCCAGGGAACCAGAATGCCACAAACCATTTTCCTTCCTGTGGAAGGACAACAGGGTGCTAGGATAAAGGGCAATGCATCAGCCCATTACTGTGTCAGGAGGGTCCTTTAAATGCCTGTCCCAACTGTCCCTCCTGTAAGAATGTGACATCTAAGCCAGGCTCACCTCCAGGAGACAAGGGGCTGGGGAATGTGCTCAGAGGCCTGTGTGGGAGAAGGGGCTCATGGCAGTGGCAGGCATACAGGCGGCCTCAAGCTCTGTGCTTGTCTTCCAAGTCTGCGTCCTCAGTGGCGGGCAGGGCACTCATAAAGGCTGCTTGTCACCCTGTTGTCACTGCCCCTGAAAAGGTGTCTTTTTCCGTAGTTCTAAAGCAATCCCGATGTCTGATGGTTTTAAAGTTCCCTTTTGAGGTTTTCCTGGGTGAGTTAGATTCTAGTGTTTCCGGTTAAACAGGTGTGAACATGGGAAATGAAGGTAACCTGCATTTTTAAAAAATGGCACTGTATAATTCGGCTTGGTGATTTCCGTCCTCACTTGTTGGCTCATTGCTCAGTGGAGACAGGAAGTAAGGATGCAGGCTCTTGAGGGACAATCCGCACGGCATGGCCCCACAGGAAGCAGCTCTCCACGCCATGCCCAGGGCCTCCTGAATCCTATTGGCACAAAGGTCAGACCCTTCTCTCTTCACATCTTAGTAGCACTCATTACAGATGCTCACAGCATTTTGTTTCCAATTAGAACATACTAGAGTCCACTCCTAAGGTGGGCTTCAGGCCTAATCCATCTCAGTGTTAGTACCATCCCTTTCAGGCTGCAGACAGACTGACCTTTTTGGATGATGTGGGAAACGTTTCAACTGCACTCATTGAAGGCTGGCTTAGGCAAGAGCAATACAGCCCAGTAGTTAGGTGGTCAGGTCCAAACTTAGCCAGCCTTTTCTAGACCTGAATTCAGAGACTAGGGTATCAGTCTACCGAGGCAAACCAAATCTGTGCCTTGTTACACCACTTACCCCACGTCCTCTGTGAGCCACTGCACTTCAGAGCTGGCTGCTTTAAATGTCTTTCTGCACTAGGAGAGCCCTGAAGCTGACGTTCTCCTCCGCAGCTAAACCACTTTGTACTTGTCTTAGGCAGTCTCCATGTGGCAGTGAAATGACTCGTGCGCGTGCGCGCGCTCTCTCTCTCTCTCTCGCTCGCGACCTCTGCTCTGAGGTGTCTGCTTGGCCAAAATAACCAAACCTCCAGCTTCCTTGTCCTCATTTCTCAACTACCTCAGGCTCACAACCCAGCAAGGGCCCGGCCCCACTGCCTAACTAACCCTTCACTGCCCTGTCTCCCTCGACTTAGAACTAATGCCAACTCTTCTGTTCTAGAAGGGACTACAAGTGTGAGCTGTCCAGATCGGTCCCTGTACAAGCCAGGACCTAGGCTGTGCAGTGACCCCATGACACCAGCTTTGGAAGCTGCAGAGCTGAGGGCTGCTTGTGATCTAACAGGGTTGGGACAAGCGTATCTGCTCCTGCTTCCTCTCGGGCTGGGGACGACTCTATTGGATGCACTTACCACCCTGGAGAGGAAGTTTAATTTATACTTATAACAACTCTGGACATTTCCCCCTTTACCAAGAAAGGTGTAGTATTCTCCCGTATCTGCCAACACTACCTCTCGCTTGCTCTCCTCCGCTGACTTCTGGTCCTCATTCTTCCTCCCCTGTGATTTGGAAGAGCTTTACTTTTGCAAAGTTCAAAAAAAAAAAAAAAAAAAAAAATTTTTTTTTTTTTTTTTTAAATAAAACACAAAAGCTCGTCTTAGTGTCTTTCTTATCCATGGCTGTGGAGGTTACTAACAGCAGCACCGAGTGCCCCACTATACCAGCAGAGGTAAACAAGGCAGCCTGGCAGTCAGACCCACCCCATGCTCGAAACACACACGTCTTCTTGAGTCTCTATCAAATGTGGTTTATTCAATGACAAGCACTTCTCTACAGCCGCACCTGTGGAACATCACATGGCAAAAACGAGGTTTTTTTTTTTTTTTTTTCCTCTCTAGACTTTTTTTCCTTTTTTAAAACCTTATTAAAAATGAGATTGGTCCTAAAAATATAGAAAGAAATAAATTTAAATTCACAAAAAACTGTACATTATCAAAAAGTCACTAAAACACCACATTTGGTTATATAAAAAGTCAGTCCCTTTTGCTGTAAAAGGGACATGGAAATTTGTTGGTGTTGATGGTTTCTTGCTGTTACCAGATTTGGGGGGGGGGGGAGGACACACAGGGCAGGGTGGGTTGTCTTTATCTCTAACCTGCATTCCCTACCAAATACTCTGTCATTAAGAGAAAAGCCACCTAGCTCGAGGGGCAGTGAAAACGAAAAGTGAGAAATGGCCCCTTTAATCATGCCCTACCCCATCACCCCTAAGCCCCGCTTCTTCAAATCAGGTCCAAGACCTCCATCCATCCCACCCTTAAGAGGGGGCCTGGTCCCTAGGAAAGAGCTGGAGCAGACAGACAAGGAGGCACTCCCCTCCCACCTCCAGCAGCGAATGAAGGATCCAGTACATTTATGCCAAGGGAAACAGTCCCAAACATCTGACTAACACAAAGTTTGTTACGGCACAGTTATTTAGATAAAATATAAATATTTATGCATAATATAAAGTCAATTCAAATATTCTTCAATCCACCTCTTATTTAAAAGCAAAAAAAAATTCTCAAATAAAATTAAGTTTTGAGGTTTATCGACAGAAAAGGCGACTTTAGAAATAGGCGGTAGGGAGGGAGGGTGGGCTGGAAAGGAGGGAGGGGCTGGCTGCCCAGGAACCTGCAGTGCCCCACCCCTCAGTACTGCTGGAGTACAAGGAATGCGCCACCTCCACCTCCACCCATGGAACATTGCTCGGATGCCTCAGCTCTGCTTAGGCCAGCTAGCAGCCACCTCCCCAGTGCAAGTACCCGTAATTTCTGATGGGAGGGGCTTTGCTGAGCAGGAAAGCAGGGGCCAGAGGCCCATGGCTGTAGCTCGGAGTTAGCAGCTTTCCTCTCACGTGTTGGGGGCTTAACCTGGGCTTAGTCACGCAGGGCAGTGGCACACCAGACCCTCTCCCCTCCTACCCATCCTATGCTCCAGGAGCTGGCTGCTGGGGATATGAAGTAGATGCAAGGAAGGAAAACAACTAAACCCAGACACTCATGGTTTAGGAAAGATCCAGTTCTACCCTCTCCCAACAAATTCTCAAGACTTGAAGCTACTGCGAGGAGAGAGTTCCTGCTGAAAGATTGCACAGTTTGAAGAGGCTGGAACAGATATAACCATGAGGAGAGACAGACTTATCCCCAGAGAAACAGTTCCTGTGTTTTCCCAAAGACAAGAATATGACGGCATGAAACATCGGGAAAGGTGGGAATAAAAACATACTTGAGGGAACATGAATGGATCGCATTACACACAACAGGGTCACAGCTCTCATCTGTGTGAAAGTGCACACACCTGTACACGTACACGTGTACACAACACACGCACACACACACGCACACACACACCTGTCCCCCTCTCTCTGAGGGCCTCCATCTCGGAGCAGCACTCAGACTCAGCAGTAGTTGTCCCTGAGGAGTTCCCAAGAGGGAGGTTTGGGAAGCGGGGAAGGAGACTGGAAGGCCCAGGAAGACCCCCTGCCCTCTCCCCAGTCAGAGTTTCAGAAAAGCTAGAAAACTCAGCACGTGAGGAGGATCCAACGTTTTAGAGGGTAACTATTGGCAGGAGATGAGGACAGACAGGGAGCTCTGAACTTTGTTTTCCACATAAGGGGAAGGGTGGGGGGGGGGGAAAAGAACCCGTACACGATAGTTTTTACATTATGGGGTGGGACAAAAATCGTAAAAACAGGGAGAAGGGGGAAGAGAAACAAGTGAGGAACAGGGAAGGGACTGAACATGGAAGCAGCATGTTCAGGGCCCGGTGTCCGGCTCGACACACTTGGGAGTTAAGTCCACTTTACTGGCCGTCACTGCGGGTCCGCACACAGTACAGAGTGTTTCTCGGTTTCACACATTCACTAGAACTATTGCTATTGTTAAACAGCCCCAGGGTGCTGGGGCATGTACAGGGAGGGGAAGGGAGGGGAGGAGGCCAGGGACAGGAAGGGAATTCTTTACCCCTTGCCATTTTAACTAGGAAGAAAAAAACAGGAAAAATTCTTTCTCTTTTTTGGCTTTCCGTCCAGAAGGACCTCACCTCTGCATCTCTTATTTGAGGACCAAGAGGAGGAAGGGAGAGGGGATTAGGGACGAGAGGGTGTGGGTGTTGCCAAGGGCAGAGTCGACTTCAGCGCTGTCTGACGTGAGCCCACCCAGGGCAGCCATCAGCAGGTGACAAGGGCAGGGTGCAGAAGACACAAGGTGGTCCTCACAGACTGGCCTGTTTTCCCTGATAAAATTCCTCCCAGCGGCTCTCAAAGAAGCGGCGCATGATGTGCCCAGCCTTGCCCACTTCAGAGTCATCCTCGTTGAAGGTCTGGCAGTTGTCAAAAACCAGAAGGGCGTCAGCTGCAAACTCCTCTGAGCTAGTGTACCTGGGACAAGGGAAGAGTGGGGTTGTGAGCGGTTAGAGCTGAGAAAAAGAAAAAAAGAGAGAACCAGAAAGGCAGCAACACTTCCTTACCCTCCCCGGAGTAGCCGTTCTCGCATGGTGGAAAAATCCATGGGGTTCTTGATGACTCGCCGGTACCCACTCACCACTCGAGGGTTCACAGGCTCCAAAAAAGGCCAGGCCGCATCATGGGATTCCATCTCCATTAAGATGATCCTATTAGTACAAGACGCACACACTGACTCCTCCCAGCCCTTCTGGCACACACAGAGCCAGCTGCTAGTCCTACAATTTACTAACTCACTCGCAAAATGTGAGATCACTGTGGTGGCTTCTCATCGAGAATCTCCGTCTCTTGGAGGGAGACAGCCCATCTTCTGGGCACTGAGACACTGTTGGGCTTTCTCGGTTCCTTGACAGCACCCGCCGTCGGCGGCTGTCACCCTCTGGGAAGTTCGCTGGAAAACTGCTTTTCCGCTTCTGGCCTCTTTTTGGAAAACCAGGCCTCTGAGAGAATTCTTCCTCTACCTGCTGAGGATAGGCACAGGTAAGAGGGACAGTGACTTCAAATGTTCACACACTGGCCAGCACGTGACTTCATTCAGGTAACTAATGGGGGAGGGGGGAGAGCAGTAAAAGGAGTGATAATTAGAGATTGGGCTAAAGTAATTTATTCAAAGGAGGACTCAACCCAAATGCTATTAAGGCCCATCCCAGAGAGAGCCTGAGGGTAGGGGATATCTGCCAGACTGATGGCTTAAAAAAAAAAGATGAAAAAGAAAATCTTTGACTCCTGCTTGAGAATGGGACTCAAACAGTAAAAACCTTACCTGGGCCAAGCAGACAGTACAGAACCAGTCTCCTTCTGGGACAGCCTCCATCTTGGGCCGATGACAGTAAATGTGGCAGCCACGGTCACACCCATCACAAAGCAGGAGAAACTCATCATTGTCACCCTTTCGGCAGACGAGGCAGGTCACTTTGTTGACAGACTTCTCCCATGCAATGGACCTTTCCAGCTGGCCCATGCACAGGCACACTTGGGCTGCACTACGGCACCTCTCCAGGGTCTGCCGCCAGACACGGACACGGGGGGTGATCTCATATGATCTGGAGGGAAATGTAGGATGAATAACAGGAAGACTTCTGTCTTCTCTCCCAGGTCCAGAGGCAGGCAGCAGGGGTCACTCACATCTCAGTGGTGGTGCCATCAGGGGCATCGTTGGGTGTGCTCAGCAGGGCCTTCTCCACTACCACCTCATGGGCTGCCCAGAGGGGCTCCCGCAAGTAACGCCGTTCTACATTCTGTTCCAGAGCAGCCAGTCGCATCACAGCGAGGTCCAGGGGGTTGGTGTTTTGCCGCTGAGGTATGGTACCTTCCCTGCCCCGTCCTCTCCAAGGGATATCCTCCTGAGAGTCAGGTGGATGCTCACAGTAGGCCAAGTCTTCTCGGGTAGAGTCTGGGCTAGGGCACGTCCAGCCCTTCCAGTGGGAAAGAGGAATAAAACACATTATAAAGGGAAGTACATGGCATTGTAGTAGGTCACTTAGTAAGAAGAATCTAAGGGCTTTTCTTTTCTTGACACACTCCCTCAGCTAAGTGTAGCAGTTCCTGTCTGCAATCTCAGCGCCAGGACGGTGGGGGCAGAAAGGATGCCTTGAATCCCAGACCAGTCTGATTACAGAATGAGACCTTGATTAAAATACCAGAACCCAAGGCCAAAGAGGGCACAGCTGTTAAGAGTGTGGGCTGCTCTTCCAGGGGATCAGGGTTCCATTCCCAGCACCCACACACAACATGGGGCTCATAACTGTCTGTAGGCTCAGTTCCATAGGATCTGAGACTTCTGGTCTGAGGGCACCTGCACCCCCCCCCCAACACGGTACCAACCCCAGTGTACCCGAATCTGCAGATCAGACAGGACCACCCGCTGCTCCAGCTCCTCTACCCACTGAAGCACAGCTAGGTCAGTCTCATAAGTCTTCTCTTTGGGGGACCAGCTCCTAACTCCTTCCTCCATGGCAGGCAGCTGATGGGGCTCAAAGATGGGATCTGGGGAGAGAGAGAAAGAGAGAGAGCAGAGTCCACCAAGCCCCATGCACGGCTAGGGTTCAGGCTGGCCAAGGTCTCTCTATTTACCAATTAAGGGCTGTAAGCAAACTTCCCGCAAGGCTTCCTTGTGCTTGCTAAGGTGTTTGTGAAGCGCCTTCTCCCTGATGCCTCGGGGATGGAGTGCCTTGAGCACGACATCCAGTGTCTCAGGATCTCGGATCCACCACCAGCCAGAGCACATCTCTGTGTAGAGAGGGTGTGTATACGCCAGGGGACCATGTGAGTCACTGCCCACAGAGGAAACTGCTGCCTATTACCTCCATGCTTACCCCGTCCTAGCCAAGCTCGCTCACCAGGGGGGATAGGCTGGGCTGTCAGCTGGGTTAAGTAATGCTGCTCCACCTGCTTGAAGAACTTGCTAGGAGGTCTTCCTCTCCGTTTTGGTTGTCCTAGCCCTGTGGGACTCTGTGGCATTTCTTCAGAGTCTCCTGATGGCCTTTTAGTGCCCCCTACAGGCAGGTGGGTAGACAAGACCTTCCCTGGAGAACAGGGATTTGCAGCACCGGGTGTACTCATCTGTAAATAAGGAGATATGAAAGAATGAAGGTACTTTGTCTACATGGTTTCCTAAATTCAGGTCCCACAACCAGACATGAGAGCCTGGGGCAAGGTACAGCAGACTGATTTGGCTACTTACAGGCTTAGAGGAGACAGGCAGCTGGAGGGAGGGGGCAGGCTGGTCCTCAGAAGCCGTAGGAGGTGGTGTAGGGGCAGCATCGCAGGGTATCTGGGCTGAGAAGTTAAACCACGGTCCTTGGGGTTCAGGACAGGACTCTGCCTCATCAGGCTCTGGCCCCTCCAAGGACTGGGACGGAGCGGTGTCTAACTTCCCTGGGCTGCTATCAGGTGTGAGTACTGAGCTGCTCAACAGGGAGCTGTGGCTCTGAGTCTGGCTCAGCCAAGACAGGAAGGCGGACTGGCTGAGGTCGTGCTGGCTCTGACCCAGACACAGAGGGGAGCCTTCTGGCTCTAGGAACCCATGATCTGATGGGGGATGGGACTGAAGATGGGGCTGGGTGGAAGTCTGAAGCTGCAGATGGGACTGAGACTCTGGCTGAACTTGAGTCTGGGCTTGTTCTGAATCATGTTCCCTAAGAGCAGACTTAGGGTGCCTAGGCTGCAGAGACCCAGACTTAGTTTTTCGAGGTCGTCCTCGTGCGCGGGCAGGAGAAGCAGGGTTGTCGGAGCCAGTTAACTCTTTCTTTGCAGAGACTAGGGCTGAGCAGGGTGTTGAAGTGCCTGCTTCTGTCAAGTATTCAGCTTCTTGCTTCATTCCATCTTCAGTAACTAGAGAGAAACAAGGAACTGAAGACACACGGCTGTGTAATGGGAAAAGAGAGACTATACACAGAGCATGCTTGCGTTTTTACAATCTGCTTAGATTCTACTGGTTAACAGCTTATGTCAATGAACAGAGTGTCCGAGGAAGAAATCTTGTCCCCCCCCCCCCCCGCCCCCAGACAGTCTCTATATAACCCTGGCTGGCCCTGAACTCACTATGTAGACTAGCATGGCCTAGACTCTAGAGAGAAATCTGCCTCTGCCTCCCAGGAAGAAAGAAACAACTATAGATTAAACACTTAAATTTTGAAACAGGGTCTTGCTGGTCTGGAACTCTAGATGCTCTTGACTCAGCCTCCCAAGCACTGACTGGGTCAGTCTTTACCAGCATGCTCAGTTCTGTCCTGTTCTTGTGTGTGGATCAATCCCAGGACACTGTGCTAACCCTGCCTCCCAGCTACATCTCAACTCCGTTAAGCACCAATAAGAGCATCAACACATTTTAATCCCCTCTCTCCAACCCCAAGACAGGGTTTCTCTGTGTAGACCAGGCTGGCCTTGAACTCAGAGATCCACCGCCTCTGCCTCCTGAGCAATGGGATTAGAGGTGTGCATCACCACCTCCCGGCTCTTAGTAGTCACTATGTGTGTACTGGTACCCGTGGAGGCCATAGGCACTGGGTTACAGGTTGTGAGCCGTATGACATGGGTGCTGGGAATGCGACCTAGGTCCTCTGGAAGTAAGAGCAGTGCATGCTCTTAACCACTGTGCCCTGTCTCCAGCTTTAATTCTCAGCTGTCTTATGAAGTCTACATACTACTGATATGGCCACAGTTTACAAAGAAGCTGAAGCACGTAGCTGGCAAGCAGTTTTACTCTAACGCCTATGTTCTTAATAAACTCCATCGTATCATAAAATTAAAGCTCAAGAGCACTGGGCAGAAGAAAACGAAGTGTTTACTTGTGTTTGAGTTCACATAGACCTACCTATGCTCCCCTCTGATCCTTCCACAAAGATACCAGCCAGACATGGCAATACCCAGTAGTGGCGTCTATAGCGGTCCTGACCCAAGGAGACTGCCCGAAGCATTTGGGACGAGTGAAGCAGCTTTTTTCTGAAGAAGAGGTGACGCTGGGTAGGAATTGGAAAACGAAGATGAATAAAGACACTTCAGGCACGATATGATGAATTTTAACACAGGGAAAGCATTGAGGCTTATCAGTTTCCCTATGTAGTAGATACAGTCAAAAGAAGGGGACACAAAACTTCTCGGTCAACCCACATTTCCAAGTTTCGGGAGATTAAAAAAACACAATACCTTAGTGAGTTTTTCTATCTGGCGTTCTAACTCTGGAATGCTGGATGCTGCGATATCAACCTGTGCAGAAACAGACAGGCATTGAGAAGGGAGTTGCTGACTCAAGAAAGAACGCTTTCGAGACCCTACCTCCCTTTCTTTGGGTCATTACCTCTCCATCTTTTCGAGCCCGGCGGCCAGGGACAGCTGCTACAGTTTCCTCCTCTCCCTCCTCTTCTATGCCACTGGTCTCTTCCATGATCCGAGAACTACGTCTGCGTCCCAAGCCTTCTTCTGGCCCTTCCATCATAACCTCAGGCCTTCCTGTTCGCTTGGCCAGAGCCGTTTTCAATCTTGAAAAACAGATTGGGGACATTCTGGTAAAGAACATAATGTCAAGAAACAAACACCTCGAGTGTACGTGTTCCAGAGTCCTGGAACCAAAGGAGGGCATCACATGCTGGCAACACCCTCGATTCTCCTCTTTCCTGTTCCTACCTTCGGAGGCGGCCTTCAACAATCCATTTGTTTTTCCTGTAGTTAGACATATTCACCAGAGTCTTGTCAATCTCACTGCAGAGGAACAAGGGATGATTTTTGAGGGAGGAAAGAAAGATAAAGGATTACAAGGGGCTACACACAGACAGGATGGATGAATGGCAAAGGAAGGATTACATTTTCCCGGGGAAGGGACACACTACCCTGAGGTTTCTGGAGCGCTAAGCCCCTTCCTCACCCCACGACACAGGATTAACCAGCCCCCCAAACACACACACACACACACACACACACACACACACACACACACACACACACACACACGCCCCTCACTTGATGATGGCGGTGGAGCCATTGAGCTCATGCACTAGGAAGGCTAGGACAGCAGCCTTCTGTTGGGGTGGCTGGGCCTGAAAAGGCTGGGTGCGCAGACTGTCACAGAAGGCTGGCTCCACTCTGTATGCCATGAGGAAGCATCGGAGTATCTCAGACACATTGTCTCTGGTCAGTGGGATCTCGGACACCTTCTCCCCCAAGATCTTTAGGGACTATTTGAAAGAAAGCACAATGGGAGTGAGAAGGGAAATAGGAACTACTCAAGTTGGGAGAAAGCTACAGGGCTAAGAGAATGAGGTCAATGAGATGGCTCAGAGGACAAAATGCAGAAAAGTTCAGTTCCCAGCACTAGTATGCTGGGGGAAGACACTCCCCACAAGCTGTCTTATGACCACAGACATGCACACATTCACACACACAGAAAGTAAATGTAACTTTAAACACTTTTGAGCTAAAGAGATGGCTACGGCTCTTGAAAGGACACCGACCGCTTTGGTTCTTAAATACCCACAAGGCAGTTCATAGCTATTCATACATAATCCCATTACATGGAATCCAACCCCATCTTCTGGTATCAAGGGGGCACCAGCTACACACATGATACACATATATACATGCAGGCAAATACTCATCCACATAAGACAAAAATGAATCTAAAAAAAAAAAAAAAAAAAAGCAGAGCAGGCTCCAAGAGGGCTGTTTGCCTCTGCCTCCCAGGCGTGAAGACTAAAGGTGTGCATCATACACCCCGCTAAAATAAAGTTTTTGTGAAAAAGGAGCAAAAGAATGAGAACTGACAGGACATGGGCATGGGGCTGGAAAGATGTTCCGGCCATTAAGAGCACCGGCTGCTCTTCCAGACGACCAGGTCCAGTTCCCAGCACCCACATGGTGGCTCACACCTGTCCGTAACTCCAATTATAGGAGACCACACCCTCTTCTGGTCCTTGTGGGTACCAGGCACATGTGTAGATACCAGGCACACAAAACATGCACACACAATCAAGGGGAAGTCACTGGGAAAGGTGAGAGAGCAACACATAAAGCAGTAAGAGGAAGCATCACAAAACCGAGGGCCTTTACTGTCCCCAGGAGGAAGCAAAGCTGGCGGAGCCCAGGGAAGCTCACCTGGCAGTAGGAGGGCAGGCCGGGGTCATGGAGTGCAGCCTGCAGGAGCTCCACCAGCAGGTCTTGCACCCTGCCCGTGCTGTCACCCTGACACAAGAGTCCCTCCTGCAGGACTCCCAGACTAGGGACATCTTTGGTAAGGTCAAAGCCCAGCACTTTGCCAAAGCTATGCAGGAACTCCACGATGGTCAAGCAGTCTGAGAAAGCCTTACTGGACAACGCCAAACCAGGGATGCGAGTGTAGTCGGGCAGGGGCTGGGGAGAAAAAGCCATGGGCGTCCTGCTAAGACTTCCCCAGAGACAGTGTCTGCATACTCGGAGGCCCCTCTGTTGACACAGAAACACCCTCAGACCTGGCCCTTCCCTGATCCTTAATACCTGGTGGTCAGCCAGACACATGTCCTCTGTGGGCTTCTTCATCTCCTCTAAGATGAGCTGCTGCCTCTGCCGCTCCTGCAGACGCCTCTGTGTGGCGAGGGTCTTCTCTGCTTTCCAGGCTGGCTTGGCTTTGCCTACCTCTTCCTTTCCCTTCGCCTTTGCCTGTCCTTTCTTTTCCCTCTTCCCCTTTTCCTGCTGTGCTTTCATCTTGTCTTTATCAGCCTACCCAGGACAAAGGCACAGTGTAACAGGCGCCGTCTAGCCAAGACTCACACCCGCCCCTCCCAAATCCCAAACAAGAGTGCAACATGTACGCAGCACAGGTGTGTGTGGGAAATGTCTGTGGTGGCTCCAAAACCAGACTGGAGAGATGGGAATTTAGCTCTCAAGTAGTATGTTTGTCTAGAATGTACAGCGCACCCTGGAAAAAGAAATTAAACTTGGGAAGTCTATTCATCACATATATACCTTGAGTTTCTTCTTAGGGTCTTTCTGCTTCAAGCTCTTGGCATCTTGTCTCCTCTTGTTTCTGGCCTATAACAAGGGAAGTCATTTCTCCTCAAACCCTGAAAACATCTGTGCTTGGGCGAGGACTCAAAATAGAAAAGGATGCTGGGGAGGGGAGGTGAGAGATGGCATGCCGAGGGACTGGCAATGGACTGACTCTCACTGGAGACCGGTTTCTCTTCGCCAAGCCCACCTTGCTAAACCAAGCCCAGGAAACCCCATTTAATGACTCCTGAGCTGCTACAATGAGGGTGCTGTGGAAAAGTTAGCCTCTGTTGCCCCTGCTCACCTGCCCTTGAACAGGAGGCTGACTCTCTCCCCGCTGGCCCTTCTGCCTTATCTTCTTTTTGGTTTTACTCATCTTTGCTTTATCCTCCTCACTTGGTGTTTCTGTGAGGCAGGCAGGCAGGAAGGAAGGAAATCGAGAGAGCACGTGAGACAGAGTACATGCTCAGCATCTATGGCAGCACATGCCACTACAAAGCTGGCTTCTCCTTCAGCTCCAGGCACAAGCCTGTTTGGTTTCTGAGTAGACATAATAAGACAGCCAAGAGACAGGGTCGGAGAGGCCCCGGGCTCAGGTGCTGCACAAAGTGCTCAGACAGCATCGGCAGCCGGGAAGCCACAGGCTGGCTCCTACTGAACTGCTGTGGAAGAGGCTGCAACGACAGAGTGCCTTCATGATCTGTCTTTTTCCAGGCTGTGGAGCAAGGGCAACCAATGCTCAGACTGATGCAGACGGCCTGATGTTAGTGCAAACACAGCTGAGGGAAGGAAGCCGTGATCTAAACTGTCAGGGAAGAGGGATTGTGCTTGGCTTCCACCGCTCACTCCACTGACAGATCCAACTCAAAAGTACAAATCTGCAAATAACTCATTTCTAATTGATATCTGACACAACAAGACCTATTTCTCATTTCTGATACAGAAACATCATTGTACACACTTTCATGGCAACCTTTTAAAGTACTATGGGCAAATAAGTCACTTAAGAGATTTATTAAAATGAGATCTGGGGCTGGAGAGATGGCTCAGCAGTTGAGAGCTCTTACTGCCATTGCAGAGGACCTGGGCTCAGTTCCCAGCATGCACATGGCAGTCCACAACCATCTACAATTCTAGTTCTATGGGATCGGACACCTTTGCAGGCACACATATAGTGCCTATGTGCAAAAGACTCATACACATAAAAATAAACCTTTTTGAAAAAATGAAATTTGGGGTTTTAACTGTGGTAGAGCACTTGGTAAACAAGTGCCGAGTCCTATGACTGGTCCCTAGCATAGGGGGGAAGATACAGATAGCAGCACTGGAACTCTGAACGGAATTAACACGACTATTTCATATTTCATATTCTGCACACCTCACATGTAATGCTTACTTACAAAATTAGACATGTTTGCCAGGTGGTGCACGCCTTTAATCCCAGCACTTGGGAGGCAAGAGGCAGGCAGATCTCTGTGGGTTCAAAGACAGCCTGGTCTACAGAGTTCCAAGGACAGACGGGAGCACACAGAGAAAGCCCCTTGAAATAAAACAACAAAAAACAATTCAACCCCCCCCCCCCCGAAAAAAAAACCCCACAAGACATTTTTTCCATTTACCTATCTGACTAAAATAATGTGCCAATTATCTTTTGGATTCAGACGTGAACTGGAATCTCTAAAACAAAAACCATGGAAACTGTATGAACACAATCAGCAAAGCAAGTAGCTGGGAGATAGGAAGGAAAAGCATGGACATCGTCTCCTTTGTCATTACTGTGCCTAGGGACAGCTCAAGGCTTCACTGGTAAGAGCAACTTAAAGGAAAAAGTGCCTGGAAAAACAGCAGCACAAGGCTGGGCTCGGAGCACGCCTTTTCAGGTGTCAGCCCCTCCTGGGAAACCAGGTACCAACTACAGTTCACCGACATTTCAGATACCCTGTACCTTGGGTCTCCAGTTTCTTTGGAAGTCGGCTATCCGTTTTAGTCATCAGCTCAGGGATTTTGATCTTAGGAGGCCGACCTCGGCCCCGCTTCACTTTGGGAACTTCCTTGTTCTTGGCTTTCTCATTATTTCGAGGTCGGCCTCGTTTGCCAGTAATTGCTTGAATTCTGGAAGGAATCTCCTCTGCTGATAACTGGACCCATTGCAAGCCCTAAAGGAACAAGGAACACCGTGTTATTTATAAAAGAGACAATCAGTGCAGGTCACTATGCCCTCCCAACTATCCCAGACTCCTTGAGCCACCAAACTCCATGAAAAGAATCTACAACTTGTTCACCAACTATTTAACCCTTGGGCCAGTACCTCTGGTGTATCTCTTTCTTCAAAGAAGTCTCCAATAGGCATGCGGGGGCTGAAGCTGAAGTGCTCACGGCGGACACTGTGTACCACATTTCGGCTCAGGTACTGAGAGGAAAACTGACATTAGTAAAATCATAGCCCTACCATGTCTTTGGCCAGCAACAACACAGAGTAAGTCAAATGCTAGAAAGACAATACTAGAAGAAGTCCTTTAAAAGCTACAAATGCTGGTGGCTGGAGAGATGGCTCAGAGCTTAAGAGCACTGACTGCTCTTCCAGAGGTCCTGAGTTCAATTCCCAGCAACCACATGGCTCACAACCATCTGTCATGAGATCTGGTGCCGCCTTCTCTCATGCAGGCAAATATGCAGACAGAGCACTGTATGTGTAATAAAAATAATTACAAAAAAAAAAAAAAAAAAGCTACAAATGCTGTTACCTTGATCACTTCTGGAAACTGTTTCATTCTCTTCCCACAGGGGCCATAATACCAAGTCTCCCCCTGCCACCGATGGCCACCCTTCTTGATGCGCACTTCTCTCCGCCACCTGCCAGAGAAGCACATGGGCCCTGCCACCAGGTCACACCCCACCCACTCCCATGCCACCCAGGAGCCAACTACCATCTGTCTACTAGCCCTTCGTGTACGTCCGTCCTCAGACAGTCCCGCAGACAGAGACCGCACAGCATATGAGCTTGACAAACAGGCTCACGCTGCCTGAGCTAACGCCAATACTTCAGGAGGAAAACAATACACCAAATGGCAAATATACGTAAAGACCCCCACCCCTTATTTTTATGAAGCTAGAAATGAGCAGCTAGAAGCTCTTAAAAGCTCTGGCTCAGGTGCAAGTAGGCCATATTTTAGTTAGGAACAACGATCCTGGCAGTAGACTGCGGCAGCCAGGGTTCTCATCTCCAGTGTTTCCGAACATCTGGTGACAACCAGTAGCCCAGAGTGGTTGTGGTGAAAATTAGGAAGACAGTTATTTCCAGAAGATCTTTGATGATATCTAGTCATTAAGTAGTTACTGTTCCAGAACTCAGCTTTCCAGAGAACATTAAAACAGAAACTACTTCACCACAAAGCCAGCCGATTCACAGGTAGGAATGGAAGCCTCTTGCCTTCACCTTTATGCCGCGCTATGAAAACAGTTCTGTCTGGCTACCCTGAATACTTGAACCTTAGTTTGGAAAAGGATCCATGATCAAGACCACATAACCAGCAGATGAGCAAAGAATAAATGAGGGAAGAGAGACCATACACAAGGAAGAGAAAATGTAGGCAGGCAGTGGTGGCGCACCTTTAGTCCCAGCACTCGGGAGGCAGAGGCAGGTGGATCTCTGTGAGCTTGAGACCAGACTGGTCTACAGAGCGAGTTCTAGGACAGCCAGGGCTACACAGAGAAACCCCGTCTCCAAAAAACTACCCCCCAAAAGAGGAAAGTGGTCTAAAGCGACAGCCCAGCAATGAAGCACACCCACAACAGCCTGCGAATCCAGCACCAGGGTCCCACATCCTCCTCACTGTCCTGTGATCTATTCCCACGACTCAGTCATTCCCAGGCTTCCTAAGGTCGATTGATGTGTGCAGCAATCTAGAGCACTTACCCGTGTTGGAGGGGAAGACGCACTTCTTCTGGGGTAGCAATTCGTCTCTTCAGTACATCACCTTGAGATAAGACCAGAGACACCCACGTAATTATTCAGGCAAGGTTACGGGACAGATGAGCTGGTGACACAGCACTTGGAGTTAAGAGGCATGCAGAGCTCCCTGAGCCAGAGTCCAGCATGGTCTACATAGAGACCAGCCAAGGCTATATATAGTGAGACCCTGTCTCAAGAAATAAAAGCAAACACATTTTAAATTAAACTAAAAAAATTAAACTACAGGTTAGTGGAGGGATGGATCCAGTATGTGACAACTTTTATAGAAACCAGGCAGGGACAGAACAGGGTCTGGACACTTACCACTACCAGAAGCGGAGACAGGTTCTCCAGTGACCTCTTCCAAACCAGCAGAAGATGCTTCTGGGACCCTGCTGACATCTTCCTTTGCTGGGGAAACTGTCTGGAAGGCTGGGGATGGTGCAGGGCAGGCATGAGGAGAGGTCACCGGAGCTGTCAAAGATGCTGCTGGGAGAACAGGGGAGGGAGAAGGGGCTGCTGGGAAGACTACGGGAGGGACAGGTGAGGAGGCTGCTGGATGAAGCTCAACAGCAGGCGGCTGGTCGGGGGCTGGCTCAGTCTGGGGAGGCGGGAAGTCTGAAGACTCAGGCTCCATTTCGTCCTGTTCAGAGTCACTGCCATTATTCAGGTCAAAGCTGTTTTCTAAAATCCAGGTAAAAGAATTTACTCAGTTCAACCTACAGTAAGGTAAACATGGTTGTCTTAAGGGCTGGAGCATGGCTTGCTGGCTGCCCTCCCAGAGGACCACTGTTTGATTTCTATCCAGCACCCACATGGTTACCTTCTGTAACTGCAGTCCCAAGAGGTCTGACACCCTCTTCTAGCCTCCAAGGACACCACACACACAGTACACAGATATACAAACAGGAGCACTCATACACATAAAATAATACTTAAAAGCAGTGCTGGCTCTCTCCCTACCCCAAACATCTCTGGCCTTCTTTTCCTTGATAATTCCCAAGTTCCTCAAGTTCTCCACTGAAGGAGCAGGTTTAAGTACAATGTCGATTTTTTTTATCCCCAGTAGACACTATCTCACAGTCTGTCAGCAGACACCATTACAGACTTCCCATGGTAAGGGCTGAGCTATGGAGCACACGCACTGTTCTGCAAGTGAGGGCTTCATCTGTGCCAACCCTCCTCACTTACCTTGCAAGACAGACTCCCCTAAGACAGGCGGGGAGGCGGGGCTGACAAACAGAGAGGCTGGGGTTTGACTGTCGTCTGCCAAGAGACTGAAGGCAGCAGCATTGCCGAGAGAAGGGCACTCGAGGGCAGAGATCACAGGGCTGTCCTCCAGAGGCAGCTTGTCTTCTGCACCCATCAGCTCTGCGTCATCTATACCATAAAGTCCTCCGCTCACTGGCTCTGTTTATGGGGGTGGGGAAAAAAAACCACAAGCAGGACATTACTAGGGGAACATACAGCCCTCTTAAAAAGCAAAGGCAGGAGACTAAAAATGAAGGCAAGGATACAGATTGTATATCTACCCATAGATCTTTGCAGAAATCTAGCACTTATCATAGAATACGCCTTGTTTTTGTATTTAATTGGCAAATGTTTTCTTTCTAGTTAGTTAGAACCCAAACAGCCCAACTGTGTGGTAGTCACAGCCTATTTAGTGAATTATGGCAGCCAAGGGCTCTTGGCCAACTGGAAGCCAGGAAGAGCCTGGGCAATGAACCAATGCGTCTGAGTAAAGTCGGCCCAGCGGCAGTACAGACCATGGTTTACTAAAGGCCCCAACACCGCAGATTCCCTAAACCTTCCCAACTTTTCCAGGTAGCGGGTTGGCTACCTTCTGTTCAGGTAATCAGGGAAGGGACACATCCTCCGAAGCTCACCTGGTGCCAGGGAGTCAAAGGGCTCAAGGGAATCTTCACTGAGAATTGGAGTGTCTTCCAGTTGATCAGGAAGATGTGAAGGATCATCTAAACAGCTCACCGTGGGGTCAGGGACCAGGACGGAGACTTCTTGGTGTAGAGACTCCACAGAGGAGACAGAACCATTGTAGCCACACATCTTTAGTTCTAGGTAATCCCAGGAGAGACCAAAAGTCAAAACTGATGCCTTCAATTTAGCTATGCTAGGTGGTTATAGAAATGTGCTCGGGGGGCTGGAGAGGTGGCTCTGTGGTTAAGAGCACTGGCTACTCTTCCAGAGGAGCCAGGTTCAATTCCAGCACCCACATGACAGCACACAACTGTCTGTAACTCAAGTTTCAGGAGACTTGACATCTTTACACAGACATACATGTAGGCAAACCACCAATGCACATAAAGAATAAATAATCATTAGAAGTCCACACATGCACATAGTGTGTCCTGTTCTTTTCCTAAGTGCCCCTTCCCCCAAGCCACACTGGCACTCAAATCTATGGTGAAACATTCTCTTAGTAAACTCTAACCTTGTTTTAAAAACAAGATGTTCATTTAATCAACATTTATTGCCAGCTCTAAACTATCCAGGTATCTAAATGAGTAGAGATGTGCTGCTAAACCAATCTTCCATCAGGCAAAGAAAGAAAAGGACAGCAAGGCTGACACAAGAACCCTACTATGTACTGTTCCTTTTTTCCTTTTTTTTTGAGACAGGGTTTCTCTGTGGTTTTAGAGCCTGTCCTGGAACTAGCTCTTGTAGACCAGGCTGGTCTCGAACTCAGAGATCTGCCTGCCTCTGCCTTCCTAGTGTTGGGATTAACGGTGTGTGCCAGCAACGCTGGCTTCATTTTTTTTTTTCAACAAGTGAGACAGTAAAAATACCCTTGGATTTTTATAGGGTAGCCACCCTTGCCTGAACTACAAATTAAGATTTTATCTATTTTTAGGGAAACAAAAGAGGTTGTCACGTCTATAAACACTAACAAAGAAAAAAGGAAGATGAGAAGACAATGTTTCTCCTTGCCTTCAAAAGCCAGTCACTCCTAGGGCTGAGCCACTTCAGCATGTCCTCATCCTCCCTCAGTTAAGACAGCCTCATGCTTTCAGGGCTCACCATTGATGCCCTAACAGTCTCATCTGCTTTGCAAGCTCCCACCCTAACCTACCCACTCATGTGTCTCAGGCTGACCTGGAGCCACTTTCCCTCTGGCCTCCACTAGGAAGGGCTGAGATTACAGCTATGTACCACATGCATGACTCATGCAGTGCTGGTTGTGGAACCCAGGGCCCCATTCATGCATGCTACACAAGCACACTAGCCACTGAGCTACAGTCCCAGCCCAAGCAGCCATTCTTGAGGCAGTGTCTGTCTGGGCTGTTTCAGGCTTGCCCATCGCCCACCTGCCCTCTCCTGGCCAGCAGCTCTGCATGAGCTTGTGTAGTTTGCACTCCCACTCTTGAACTGGTGCTGCCGACAGACACCAGCCACTTGGCTCTGCTAATCACCAACATGTAAATCAGCCTGCACTGCAGTGAGCTGGAAAGACAGGTTTTTCTTCACCCCAAAAAGCCACTGTCCCCCATGACCCCACTTCCTCTCTCCACACCCAGCTCAAAGACCCAGTTATACCTGGCTGTTCTTCCTCCAGCTCCAGGCTGCCTACCAAGCCAGTGTCATTTTCTGCCACAACTGAAGTCAGCTCCTTCTCCGTTGCCTCATCAGGATGGATCCCATTGCCCACATCCTGGGAAGGTGCAAAGGTCTGGATACTAGATCCCAACATTGGAGACGTCTGTGGGGAGGTGAAAAAACTTGGGGGTCCATTGGGCATCACCTCAAAATTCTGGTCAGGAAAGGAATCATACAGTTCCTGTGAATCGAAGTTAAGCCCCATGGGACTCTGGGTACCATTGGCCCAGAACTCTTGGCTCCCAGCTCGAAGATTAGTGTTGTGACTTGGGGATGAAGATTGTCGGCTGCCCCCAAGGATACCGTTGAGTGGGTACTGTCCCCCAGGGAACTGAGAAAGAAGGGGTGGGTCCTTGAGGTTGTTGCCAGGATTGGCAGGTGGGTACTGTGAGTAGTTCCAGAGACAGTCGTAGGCCACGTTAGGGTGATGGAGGTGTGAGGTGCCGGAGGAATGGGGAGCAGAGTTCAAAATCCCTGAAGTAGTAGTGTGAGATACAGTAGATAAGCCATTAACATTCACATCCCCATTCAAACCTGGCAGAAAAACAGAAGAGAGTCAGCTATGAACATATATGCAATAATGTTACCAAATAAACTCCAATTTACAGTGAAGGTGCACTAGCTCTAGCTTTCGGGTCTCCAGGGCACACCAAACCTGGATGCTCCCAGGTGTAAACTTAGCTCTGCTGCTGAGATGGCTTAGTAAGGGGCTAGAGAGCAGCTAGGTGTGTCACAGGAGCCAGTGACAGCTACGGATATTGCTGCTACAACTTTCTACTACATGAAGCTGCACACAGGCTTCCTACAATGACTTGGGGGCATGACTGAATTCTCCATTTCCTAACCCCCTTCCCTTAGTGCCTATCTGTCCCCACAGTGGCACCAGAAGGGACAGTCCCCACCTCACTGGCACACACAGAGAATAGTGCTGGGCTGAGAATAGACTGGGTTCAGGCCCTCCCCAAAGGCCTAGGAAGGTAATACGCAACAGGTTAAAAACAACAACAAAACAAACAAACAAACAAAAACCTGTGCATGACCAGTGCTGCAGAATGCAGCTCTAAAAATAGCAATCTTTGAGTTTGCAACAGACAAACAACTCTAATGAGACTTCAAGCAGGTGTGTGGGGGTCCTACAGCAGAGGTGACTATGTTATGTGTGGAAAGTCCAGTGAAATAAATAACAGGACTTATATTCTCTGCAAGTGCCCTACATACCACTAGAGGAAAGTAAGTGCAGGTCAGGAATTTTCTACTACAAGGAGGGAGAAAGCACATGACTTGAAACCAGGCAGACTTAGAAAACTAAGAGGAAACTGAAAGAGTTCTGCCACCAGCTCAAGGCCATCCCAGGCCAGAGTAAGACATTACCCCAAAAGAGGAAAAGGCAATAACCTCAACAGCAGCGCTTTCACAGAGGATTGTCAGTGTCTAGGGAAGCAGTGTGCACCCGCCCTTCCCCACTGCCCAAGCTAAAGCATACCTACCATAACCATCACCCATCTTTCTAGTCTAATTCCTAAAAACAGCTCCCCAGAGGGCTTAACCTGTCATAGGTCCACCACCTGCATTATTAGCAACAGCAGCTACCTCCTTTTCTGCCAGTAGCCAGGGAACAGGACTGACAAGAGAGCAGGCTAAGATGGAAAAGCTTGTATGTTTTTTCCTAATCTTTTCCAATCTAAAGTCAAGACCAAACCAACCAACCAACCAACCAACCAACCAACCAACCAACCAAAACAAAAAACAACCAACCAAAACCAAACCAAGCAAACAAACCTCCAGCTTCTATAAGCAAGTCCCTATAGCTTATTCTCAGAAGTTGGATTTCTCTATAGCAATTAGTTCTATGGATTTATTTCCTGTCACCACGTGCCACGACAGAGTTGCTGTGGGGATACTAGCCCAAAGTAATGTCAATCTAAAGAACCAACGCCATTTCCCTCCCCGGCCATGGCCTCCACACTCACTTTTCCCTTGCTGGGGGAAGTTCATGGGAGACCCGTTAGTGTAGAGGCCCTCGCCTGAGGAAGGAGAGGGTTTCAGTCCTGAGGCAGCTGGTGCAGGGGGAAGGCCAGTGAAGTTAAAATGGTCGTTTGTCTCCATTTCTGTAGGAGGAAGAAAAGGAAAAAATACTGTGGTTGAGAACGTTACATCATCATCTAGAGGCAGTGTCCCCTCCTACCCTTTACTTATTTATCCTTCAATGCAAGGGTGTTATGAGAAGGTACAAGTTAGAAAGAGAAGAAAATATGCCCTTAACCTGAGCAAAGACTCAATGGTAAGTCAAGCATGGTGCCACACCTATAAACTCAGCACACAGGAGACCGGGGCAAAGGACCACAGGGTTAAGACCAAGCTTTTAAATACTGTCTAAAAGTTGTTAACTATCAGTGGTAGAGAAAAATGAGTATGAAAAAAAATTATGAACCTGGAAAAGCCTACCCTTATGCTAAGTTCTACCTTCTTGCTTTTTTGAGACAAGGTTTCTCTATATAACAGCCCTGGCATTTATTTTGTAGACCTGGCCTTGAACTCACAGAGATTTGTCAGCTTCTGCCACACAAGTGCTGGGGTTAGGAGTAAGCACCACCACCAGGCCAGGCCATGGTTTTTTGGTGTACGCGTGTGTGTGTGTGTGGTTTTTGTTTTTTATGTATTTATTATGTATATGCTGTTCTGCCTGCAGGTCAGAAGAGGGCACCAGATCTCATTACAGAGGGTTGTGAGCCACCATATGATTGCTGGGAATTGACTAAGGTCCACTGGAAGAGGAAAGGACCTTGAGCTATCTCTCCAGCCCTGTATTTAAGACTTAAATTTTTTTTTTTAGCATGTATGTATGTTTCACCTGCATGTATGTCTACATAACACATATATGCAGTGCCCATAGAGGCCAGAAGATCGATTTCCTGCGACTAGAGTTAACAGACACTATCGGCTAAGAATCAAACCCATAGCCACTGAATCATCTCTCCAGCCCCACATCTGATATTCTTTACCCTTCTGTTTTCACCCTGAATGCCAAGCCAGGATCTGATGGGAGATGTCATTCTGTAAATATGTTTCTCATACTGGTTAATGAATAAAGCACTGTTGGCCAATAGGAAAGGAAGATAGGAGGGACTAGGAGACAAGGAGGAAAGAGGAAGTAGTAAGGAGGGGTCAAGATGGAGACTGGAGAGAGCAGAACCGCCAGCCGCCTCTCCCTGGTAAGACCTCGTGGAAATACATAGAAATGGGTTAATAATTAAGACAGAGCTAGCCGATAAGAAACTAGTACCTGGCCAACAGCATTATATCAAATATAGAGTCTCGGTGTGTTAATTGGGGCTGGCGCGGTGGCAGGACAAGGCGGGAGGAAAAACCTTACTCTTTACAAGGATCCTACTCCCGAGGTTCACAAAAGTTGTCAAAGCTATCTTTTTGGGAGAAAGCCATGGATGCATAGTGTTAGCAGGAAATGTATACTTGATGTATATTCTGTTTCATTACTGTTTTGTTTTGAAAGAATCTCTTTATGTAGTCTAAGCTGGCCTTGTACTCTGAATCTTCCCCAAGGCTTTCAAGTGCTGGGGTAACAGTTGTCTGCCTCCATACCTGGCTCAACAGTGTCCATTACTTTCTATCTACAGCTCCAGACACAAAACACTGCAATATAATGAATTGAAATATATGCATTAGACATATGGGAAATTGTAAAGTGCACTGGCTCATTGAAGGGAATATGGCTAGAAACTTTTTTTTTTTTTTTGATTTTTCAAGGCAGGGTTTCTCTGTGGCTTTGGAGCCTGTCGCCTGTCCTGGAACTAGCTCTTGTAGACCAGTCTGGTCTTGAACTCATAGAGATCCTCCCAAGTGTTGGGATTAAAGGTGTGTGCCACCACCGCCCGGAGTGTGGCTAAAAACCTTCTTGATATTGACTGAATATGATACATTAATAGGAATAGCAAGAAATGAAGCCTTTGATCAAAATAAACTTAACTGATTATGACAGAGTCCAGAAGGCATGAAAGCAAAATTAAGAATTATTGGAAGTCTCATCTATAAGGTATTTGTGATGTGCTAGTACACATTAGCCCAATATGTGAGATTCTATTTTTATACAAAAAAAGGAGCCTCCTGTTGGTGGTACACACCTTTAATCCCAGCACTTGGGAGGCAAAGACAGGAGGATCTCTGTGAGTTCAAGGCCTGCATGGTCTACAGAGTGAGACTCCAAAGCTAGGAAACCCCCCACCCCGAGGTGGGGGGAGTCAAGTCCTCGGATTATGTTAATAGCTTCTGGAGGGCAGGATAATTGATTGCACTGGAAGCTCTCTTTTCCTTGAGACAAGTTTTCAGTATAGCCCTTGCTGTTCTGAAACTTTCACCACCACACCCAGCAGTCAGGGAGCTCTTTATCAAGTTCCTAAGTTAACGCAATGAGCAGACCTAGGTAAAATTTTAATTATCCATTTAAAGAATAAGTTGGTTGTGAAAACATGATCACTGGCCAACATCCAGTCAAAATACATGCCTACATTCAAGAGGCTAAGGAAAGAGGATCAAAGTCCAAGGACAGATTGAACTATACAGCAAGATCCCACTTCAAAGCAAGAAATATGGTCTATGAATATAGTGTATACTGAAAATTAGATACCATTATGTGTGTATGTAAGCAAGCACGCTGCTGCACTAACAGAAGTAGTGGTGACTTCACAGCTTTGGGCTAAGATCGATTGTAAATTAAGTAGCAGATTTCACACTGTCCCACACCCATGAAGAACCCAAGTCTTCCAGTACTTCCCATAGGAAATTTCCATTTTTCAGAATAGGGATCCAAAATAAGCATCATGAGATTAATAATTCCAAGTAAAACACACAAAAATTAAGTTAAGTCCTTGTTTTTAGGTTTGGTTACTTCGAAAGCGTGAACCACAGCAAAGAACATGCAAGGGTTCACTTTGGAGACCCTGGGAAGAAGCCTGAAGAACCAATTCTGCCTGACCCACACAGACCTCTCTCCTGGCTTGTAGGAAACAGTTATATATCTTTCTTCCTGTATCCCTGGATTTATACCCTCAAAGATGGTCACAGTTCATTTTCTTCTTTGCTTTTGTTGTTGAATCTACAAAACTAGTGACAATTTTTTTGTTACTTTGAGAAAACAGCGTATCTTACTTTACAAATTACATACTGTTAGCAATAAGTGGACAACACAATGAAATCAGAGATGTAAAAGGAATAAAGGCTATTTGGCACCTGACTCTGTTTCAATACCACTCAGCTGAAGGGCCACAGGGACCACAGCTACTTCATGTCATTCCATGCTACATGTTATATGATGAAAGCAGCATAACAAGGCAGGCTTAGGGCTGGAGAGAGGGCTCAGCAGTTAAGATCACTCACTCACTGCTCTTCCACAGGACATGGCAGTGCATAACAGTTGTAATTCCAGTTCCAGGCACATGTGCCAATGCACATAAAATAAAAATAAATAAAACAGGCAGGTTCAAATCTCGGATTTGGATTCCTTGGCTTTGGACAAAGTACTTTCTGAGTCTTAGTTTTGTCATCTAGAAAAATCTTTATTATGTATTTTTAAGGCTTGAGGGTTAAGCAAAATATATATATTCGAGCTCTTGTACTAAATGTTAGTTTTTTTTTTTTGTTTGTAATAGGGTCTCAGTATGCAGCCCCACATGACCTGGGATTCAGAAATTCCCTTGCCTCAAGCTGCCCCACTCATGGGATTAAAGGCATGTCCACAATGCCCAGCAATGTTAGCTTTTTTTCCTTTTCTTTTCTCTTAATATTTATTATTTATGTATATAGTGCTCTGCCTTCATGCCGGAAGATGGCACTAGATTGTATTATAGATGGGAATTGAGCTCAGGACCTCGGGAAGAGCAGCCAGTGCTCTTAACCTCTGAGCCATCTCTCCAGGCCCAAGTTAGCTTTTATTAAGCAACGAATAAAAAGAATGTTTACCTTGTGTGTATGTACATACATACACACACACATACATGTATTCCCCCCCCCCCTTAGTTTTCTTTTGAGACAGGTTTTTTTTTGTGTGTGTGTGTGTAAAAGCCCTAGTTCTGTAGACCTGGGTGGCTTCGAACTCAGCTGAGTGCTGAGATTAAAGGCACTGCCAACACAACCCAGCTTATATAATTTTTAAAAAGTTTTTCAAGACAGGGTTTCTCTGTATAGCCCTACTTTCCTAAAACTCCCTGCGTAAATCACACTGGCCTCTGCCTCCCAACTGCTAGGATCAAAAGCATGAGTTACAACTCCTAGCTTAAAAGGTATATACATAATACACACATCTACACAAGCTTTTTAGGATGGGGTTTCTCTATGAAGCCCTGGCTGTCCTGGAACTCACTAGACAAGGCTGGGCTGGAATTCAAAGAGATTCACCTGCTTCTTTCTGCCTCCCAGTGCCGGTACTAAAGATGTGCTCGGCCATGTCTGGCTTTAAAAGGTATGTGTTCTTAAAGCTACTTGTTAGGGAGAAATGGGAGAGATGATGTAGCCATATTTAATATATACAACTTAACCTCTGATTTCAGATGTCACACAAATAATGGGATCACGATATAAGAATGCAAGAAAACGCTAGGCACGGTGGCACATGACTTGGAAGGCAGAGGCAGGTGATCTGTGAGGCCATCCTGGTCTTCTAGCTAGTCCAGGCCAGCCAGGGCTATAATTTAAGACCCTGGAAAACGCTAGGATTACAAGTGCATATCATCATGCTAACTTGCTTCTCAGCACTTAAAAAAAAAATTAATGTTGTGTTTGTGTACACCACACAGAGGCAGCAGCCCTTAGAGGTTAGAGGAGAATCTGGACCCCTGGAACTGGGGTTACAGACAAGTGTGAGCCTCCACGTGGTGGTACTGGGGATAGAACCCAGGTCCTTAAGAGCAGTAAGCACCCTTAGCTGCTGAGCCATCTCTCCTGTCCTGTTTCTCATCAATGTTTAACACACAAACGACCCAAGGTACACCATCAAGGCTGAGAAACAGAAGCTGTCCCAATCCTGCCCCACACACTCTGAGCTCCCAACACTGAAGTCAGTGATCTTTAAATTTCATACCTAAAAACTCCTCCTTCC